GAAGCTATGTGTAGGGTTGTTTTGGGCAGCTTGTAAAGGTCGTGTCTGCTCTGCAGCCGTTTTGCTTTTCTGAGCCAAGGATTCAGGGTGGAACGCGAAGATCCAGCGGTTAGGTAACGAACTACTCGAGCCACTGCTGGTTTGTCTTTTCGTCTTAGCTGCAGGGATGCTTGTTGGTCACCTCCATGCCTACTACCGCCTTGTGGTGACTCCGGGGTCCGTCACTTCGCAACAGTCAGCCTGCGGGCAAGCGCAAGTGCCATCTTTGCTACCCCTACACCTCGACGGGGCCGTGACAGCCTCAATGCCCAGAGGGGGAGTAAGAGACCAAAGGTTCTATGTGGGCCTTGGGCTGCCAGCGTCTTTTAAGTTTTTCCCAGAGGACTCGCTTGCGAAGTAGTGTAGAGAGTAGGTCTCCTCAGCTTTGAGAGCGTAGGGAGTGTTTTCCAGTGTCTTCCCGGAGCAGAGAGTAGGTCGCCTCAGCTTTTAGAGCGTAGGGAGTGTTTTCCAGTGTTTTCCCGAAGCACCGTGAGGTTTGACCAGTTCTGACTGCGTTTCACGTTGTTTGGTACATTGGCTCAAGACCGGAGTATGCGAGCATGCAAAAGTGAGAAGCGTGCAGGGCTTGAGTGTGAGTCTTGTAGGGCTGTGGGTTGCTTGCCGCGTTTCGGTCTTTTACGGTTCTTAATCCCCGCGGCTTGCATAAGGGATTCTGCTTGCGCGGGTTTGGTATGGCTTAACGTAGATGTAGACCAAAGCACTTGCGTTGTTCTTTTGCTGTACCTCCTTTGCAGAGTAGCATTTTGGAGTTTACTATCGTGCCAGTGGAGGTCCCACATTGCAGAACCGGCGCTTCACAACCGGGGACGGCTGCAACACGTAAGGAGTTGCTCATCGCCAACTGCTGCTTGCCACTCGGTACGCGACACATACCACCCCAGGAGTTCTCGAGCCGAAACTTCGGTAGCACCGCTCGAGGTGCCCAACTGGAGGTGGGGGAAGAGGTCAGCGAAAAGAAATATTTAAAAATTGTCGTTCCGGGCGACAGTTTCGGAAGAAAGTTTCCCGCTTAGTCCTCCCAGAACTCGCTGCTGCTGTGCTGCTCCTCGCTGCCCCCTCGCTGCTGCCTCTTGCGTGGTGCTGCTTGGCTGAACTCTGGGTGCCCAACTGGAGGCGGGGGAAGAGGTCAGGGAGAAGAGATTTTTGGAAGTTGTCCCCTCAAAGGACAAATTTCCCGCTTAGTCCTCCCCAGAAGGGACTAAACCCCGCTTCTCCGCCATTCTTCCAGGCTTCGCCTGCAGGTGACCCTTAGAAAGGTTCTGTAAGTCATTCATAAGTGCTGTGGGGTTTCTTGCTCAGTACGGCTTGAATTAATGCAAATAATTCAAAACAAAAGCGATGAATTCAAAAGAACAACTCCAATTCATTATCGAACTTTTTGTGAAGAGAAGATCAGTTTGGACGATTTCTAGTCGTTGAAAGCAAGTGAGCAAACAGCGGGAGTTTTTTGTAGGATCTGATGGAAGTGTCGATCCGTTTCTGGCATGTGGGCGTGGTTTGGTGGCCGGGTCTGTGCACGCAGGAAGCGGTCCCAAGTGGGTATTGAACTCTCCATCCTTACAAGCCTTTATTTAGAGTGTCGAGGCCACTGCGTTTTGTAGGGCGTTTCAAAACCTCTGGATTTCCTGAGTGCCAGCGATGCCTGGCACCATGAAGTCGTCTTTTTAAGCAAACCGAGTATGCAGCTGAAGTGCATGGCATACCTTGTTGCAGTCTGTCCGGGTTTCGTTTTATGCAGCCTTAATCGCGGCGGGCTCATCATTTGGTCCATTCAGATTGGTGGCATCACATCAGCATGACAACTTGCTGCGAACCTATGGTCAAGCTTGTTGGGTTTGTGGTTTCAAGAGGTTGCAATGCCTTTTCAAGAGTGTTTCCAGAGTTTCAGGATTCAGAGCTGTGGTGTAACAGAGTTTCGGTTTTGAAAGGTTTTGGCTTAAGATCTTTATGAAACCCGAGAGCAAGCACCTCTTTCTGTTAGCATCTCGTTTCCTTTCCTTCTTTTTTATTTTTCTAAAGCGCACCCACCTCACTCCACGCCAGATCCTTACCGACCTCGCGGGAAGCCAAAACGTGCGTGTGGTTACATTTGGAGATTGCGTTTCGCATTTTCATTTCGTTTAGCATGTGCTAGGGTCAAAGTAGCTTGCAGAAGTTGTCCCTTCGCAGTTTCGACTGCTTGTAGCGTTCCTGCTTGTTCTCCCATTCTTCGTATCCCATTCGGGTCCAACAGATGAGCGGGAGGAAGATTCGAATAAGGACCAAAAAACACCGTTGTATGACCACTGGGTACCACAAATCCCCTTGAAAAGTTCTCACGTTGCAGGGCTCCGCTGGCGCTGGGAACTCAAGTGGTTCAATGTCGAGTTGTTTTTGGATCATTTCTTCATTCCACCATTTGGAGATGTTTGGTCAGTTCCAGTGCCCCAGAAAAAAGTGTGGTTGGCAACATGTCAGCAGGCCCTTCTTCAAATAGGAAGATGGCAGCTAGCATCGCACTGCCAGGCCAATAAGTCCTCAGCAGCGGAGCTTCAGGAGATGTCGGCCAGCGGAAGTGGAAAGTGGAGCTGTTTCCTGGGACACCTTCCCGTTCCCAACCTTAGGCCGTTTTGTCAAAGAAAGCATTACACCAGCCGAATTTTCCAGGATGGATGTGTGCGGGAAGTTCACGGCCGACTTCCATCAGAGAAGATCATTCAATTGAGACCCTAGGCCTTCTGGAGCGCTCGACGCAAGTGATGCAAAACGCATACAGTCTGAGAAAGTTATGCCCCAGACGTCCAGCGAGGGTGTTGGTGTTGGCTATGTTGTTCATTTTCCATGGAGTGCTCAATCGCGAGCCATGGCTTGCCGTGCTTGCTGTCAGTTGAATACGAAGCCATGTTTGCTCAAAGAGCATGCTTGGTTCCCACAAGCCAAGAAAGACGTTTGCGAAGCTTGCAAGGATCTTACATGTTGCCGGCGTATGCTTGTGCTTACGATGCCAAGCTGTCCGGCATGCTGGCGTAGAAGATGAACAAGACTCAGACGCGAACTGCAGATTGCTGGCTAGACCAAGCACGCCTTCGTTTGAGGAGCCAACGCCCCATGCGCATGAGATGCGTGTGTCGGTAGCTTTGCACGGTGCAGATGTCGAAGACGCGACCTGCAGAGCTTCGTGGAGCGGAGCCGTGCGTACGGATGCCTTGGAGATGTCCTACCAAAACGGATCTTTGTGCATAACTGGTTCTGGGTTCCAAACTCGTGCCGAAAGTCAATCGCAACTGGTGCGAGATGCTGTTCAACTCATGAACCGTTGCAGGCTGCACCTGATGCCGTTCAAACAGCAACTGATGAGTTTACGCGACTCAGAGATGCCTTGCGATCGTTCTTGGGGCTTTGTCAGGTCGATTCCCGAGTGCCAGACACGCTTGGTTCCCGACTTTAGTTTCGTTGCTTGGCCTGAAGCTGGGCTGCTCCCAGACTACAGGACCCTGAGAGAGGTGATCACGCAGCTCAGTTCACGGCCACCAACAAAACACATCTGCGGCTGGGCAGGAAATGTGCAGACGAACCCGCTTCGGGGCGAGATGCTCCGCATCGTTAACAGGAGCCTTTTCGAGATCATGGTGCCCGAGCATGACGAGGGCGTCGAAGGACGAATCTCAATGCCAGACCAAGTCAGGCGTTGGGCTTGCTTGCTGGATGTCCCCGCGGCCGGTTATTCCGGCCGTGTGCCTCTCTTGCTGAGCTCGGGGCGGCCTCTACTTCTTGTGGGTCGAGAGCATGGGCAGCTAGCCGATCAAACCTGGTACGCTGACAAAATCAAACCTTGGGAGCATTACATCCCCGTGGCTCACGACTTATCTGACCTCAATGCTAAGGCCGCCTTCGTGCTCGGCCCAGGGCGTGAGCAAGCCAGAGACATTGCCAAGAGAGCCAAGCAGTTTGCCGCCGAGCATCTGACGTACAATGCCGCAGTGGCACAGCTGGCCGAAGCTTTGCTGTTGCCGCTCCCAGTCTTGAGCCACGGATGAAAGTTAACCGCAGCTTCACCGGCGCAAAAGCAGACGTGGGTTGCTTCTTGTCCTGAGTGCCATTTGCTGGACACACAAGTTCTGTGCAATCTTGGCTCTTTTTCTTTCTTTCTGTTTGGCTGCCATCTTCAAGTAGTTTGGTCCTGGATTTTAAGCAATTTTTGTTGCATGCGAAGTCTCTATTGTTTTGTTGCGGCTGTGTCTGGATTTCGCTTGGGGACGGAAATTTGGAGCCAAATTGTGTGATGGGACTTAGCTGACATGTGGATTTCGTGTGCTGTGTTGGCGCGAGCCACTAGCAAGCGCCATCGCGCCATATGGGAATTCATTTGATCGTTCCAAGGCATTGCGGTGATCACCTAGCAGTATGTGTGCAAAACGCATGCGTTTTTTGTGTAACCCTACTTTTTGTTCTGTAACATTCTGTATGTTGTCAAGCGGGGGGGTCTTCAGGTGCAGTGCAGTCGGATGTGTGAAACGAGTGGCACGTTGATGCATCTGGTTCTGCATTCGCCGAGTTAACACTATGCATACACACATTGGAATGGGTTGCAGATACCATAAGTGCTTTGGAAAGGGTCAACGCGCCGCATTTAGTGTGTGCCCCAGGGATTGGTTCCAATCGTGTCGGCGACGAGTAAGCCTTTAAACTTGGCCATCACTGGTGGCGCGGAGTTCTGAAAATCTCACGGCCGTGGTCATTTGTCGACTTAGTCTCCCCAACTTGTACGCTTTGCTCGATGTCTAATGTGAATTCAAAACTACTCGGCTTACAGACACAGAAGACATGTTTCATCTCCCACACATGGCGCTGGCCTCCTGCCGTTCTCGGTCCGGTGACTCAGACACTGTCAGGCATCGCAGGCATCGCAGGCATCGTAGTTGGAAGATGCTGGAAAGTGATCCCCCAAGGCCACAGGCTCGATGAGCGCTTTTGAAGAGCTGGGCATCTGCCCTGAAATCATTCAAGCCGTTGAAGAGGTTCGACGCGCATCAATTCAAAGATGCAATGGGGCTCAAGGGGTTCCACGGGGCATCTTCTCAGAACATTTTGCAACCTCAGGATGACTGGTTGCTTCCGACACCCGTGCAGCAGGAGGCAACACAAGGGACGACGCAACTTTGAGGTATGGCGCCAGCATATAAAGCTAAGCAAGCTCGCGTACATTCATATTCGAAAGAAACCCTCCCAGTATGCCATCTTGGTGAAGGCTATTCCCCTGATTCTTGGTGGAGGCTGCTGCCAGGGGTGTCGGCATTCAACATCGTGATTTTCATTTTGGGCGCGTTTGGTCACATGCAGACTGCACGATGCAACCTGCAGTAGCATGAAAAGGTGACGTTCTGGTTGCAGCAGAGACCGGAAGCGGAAAGACCGGTGCCTTTGGTCCGGATCTCAGATACTGGTGTTTCTTGACCGGAAATCAACATCGACAGCTTGGAATTTGGTCTGTTGCCGCAACTTGATTAGACAAATGTCCACAGCTGATGACCAGATAAGGCTTGCCCTGCCTCCAGATTGTGCATGAGACTTTGCGGGGGAAGTGCAGCACTAGGTGACGTGAGAAGGGTTGTGAGCACGAATTTGAGCCATTTGAGCCTTTGTTCACAACGTTGCAAGGTGTTGTACTGGTAGTTCAACCGTCGTAAACAAAACTGTTGTTGGGTTGCTGTGCAGGAAGACACATGCATCGAATCTCAAGTGCGAGCTCAATTTGAATGACAAGGCCCCAGTGCTGTCAGATTTCCACGAAGTTCACGCACCTACTTCCGTGATGGAGTATTGTAGGCAGTGACTGGTGTGTTTCGGGGAAGGACATGTTCGTGCTCGTGACGGAGGATGGAATGGAATGCAAAAGCGAAGATGACAAGCGATGGAATGGGATCCTCACATCAAAATTTAATCTGTGCTCGTTTTTTCAACTTCAGTTTATCCAGCTCTACATTCTCTACATAGACACAATCTTTGAAAATTTTCTTTCTGGAAGGTGCAACACTTTGCAGAGCTGAATTTGAAACGGCAATCGCCAAGGATTCGTGCCACCATCGAGGTTATGCAGGGCTGCTACATGTTCGAAGTAGAGGTTGGGCTAGGAACAGGATGTGGATGCTGACATTAGTCTTCGTTGGAGTTGAATGCCTGTGCTTCCAGTAGCGCTTGGTGGAGGTCGTGGAAGGCTTGCTGAGAGTAGGCCGGGGGCCGAGGATGGTTATGCTATGTTATGCTTTTGCATGTTCTGGAACAGCTCGCTTCTCGTACATTATCGCGCATGCGCATCATCAGTTTGTTCGTACTTGGGCAGCAAGGTTGCTGAACAAAAGCCCTCATTAGGCTCATAATATACATGTCAGTGGAAATCTCTTGTTCTCAACTGGGCCAAACTTATACAAACTCTCTTCAGCTTTGTCAGGTTGGAGCGCTGGCTTCGCCAAATTGGAGCTTGGAATTGATGACAAGAGTCCCTAAGCTTAATGCTCCAGGGACGTTCCATGCCATGGTTGCCCTGGGCAAAATATTTAAACATCCAAAAGCGGAACATCCCTAGCGGAGTTCGGCAAACTCTGTAGCGAACAGATTCCTTTGTCCAAGTGGAAATGCTGATGTTGCAGGGTTGATGTGCGCCTGGAAGGCATCCTTTCTCCACGCTGTGTCTTGCTTTCAGGTCCCACACAGCTTTTACAACTCTTTGTGGTGTTTGCGTATCTCGAGCCGAGGCTTTGGCTTTGGCTCCACCGGCAAGAAGAGCTGGAACCGTAAGTTCGAGGACTTCCCGTCTGAAGCGTATTTGCATCCCGCCCTTTTGGGGTTCGTGAGGACTATGGAGAAGCTTTCGAAGAAGGTGACATCATCGGCCAGCTGCTCAGACTCCCTCCACTTCAAAAGGGAAAGAAGGGAAAGTCCTGAAAGCCATGAGGCTGCCTGCTCGATCGCGAGAAGCAGACCATCTCCTTCACCAAGAACGGCAGAGACCTGGGAGTAGCCTACAAGCCGCTTGCTCCGGGACAGTCTTTTTTTAAATAAGAGTTGCCAGGCTGGCGCGAGAGCTCAGCCCCCAACTGCAAGCTGCTGTAGGCTGCCCCCAGACATGCAGCGCATCGGCCTCAAGCCCCACATCTGTGGCAAGGCGCCTTTCTCTCCCATTCTTTAAGCGCAGATTTCGGCACTTTGTCAGTTCGGCGTGCTGAAAGGGACCTTGGCAGCTCAGGGGTCGTCGTGTTGCTGTGCGGCGTGGTTTCACGAGTACCTTGTGTGCTTGACCGCTGAAGTGTCGGCAGCTGTGCCACGACCCTCGGCCCCTGAAATTCTTGCCAGGGCTTCATGGCTGCGGCGAAGTTCGATGGCCCCATGGAGTATCCGGTGGAAGGCTATACCCCTGTAGGCGGGCAGGTTGTCTGCAACGTGCTCGACAAGTGCTTTAGGTTGCAGTCGACGGTAACAAAGCACAGGTCAAAAGTGTTCGGAAAGAGTTCAAATCCATTCCCCGACCCGGAGTCGAAAAAATGTGTGATTCGCCACAAACTTCCTGGAGCTTGAAGCAGGGTTAAGGCCGCCATGCCTGAGCCAACGATAGGCAAGTGCTAAGTTTCAGTATATCCAAGCTTGATTGCGGCCGTATCATGACTTCGTTCTGAACAGACTTCATGGTCGAGAAAAGTGTCGCACGGACGACGGTGGCAGTTTGTGGATAAGCGGTGCCTGGTAGTTTCTGCAGATTGTCCCCGTGGCGTCGGCAGGCGAAATCGACCCTACACATACTCCACAGGGCACTTCGCAGGCCAAAGGTGAAAGCCTGAGGCTTTGTGTGTTCCATGTGTGCCAAGATGCAACAACAAATTGACCAAGGTAAGCGGCCACCCCTCTGCATGATCCTGGAGCCCACAAGGCGTGACCCTGGGATTGGCATCCCTTGGACATGGTGACATGGTTTCAATGGTTTGCTGGCGGCTTCAAGTGCTCAAGTGTGCACTTGACCCTGGCAAGGGACCTGGCTGAGCAGACCTACAAATGCCAGCCGGCTGCAGATGCGGAGGAAAGCACCTAAACATACCTACTCGTAGTATGTTCGCAGCTTCTTGGAGGAAGATGCAACCTTGCACCTGTTGTAGTGAGGACGATCCACTGATCTTTGCTGGTCTTAGCCAGACTTCAGACAAATGTGTCTCGGCTAAGGCATGACCACTTTCAACAAGCACCTGGACAACCCCACCGTCCGGATCACTTTATTTGTCGGGGGCATCGATGAGAAGGTGCTGTAGAACCGGTAACGCTCAAACACGCAAGCCTTCCGTAACTGCCTGAGACATAAGTCTAGTCAAAACAGACGAGTTTTTCAGGAGCAGTTCCGTGCGCTGGAAGAAGGCGTGGACATTGTTGCCAGGGCCTGAGCAGAATCAGCAGGTTCGTCACCGAAGCTTCCAATCAAAGACATTTGGGTCTTAATAGCAACGACTCTGAATTTTCAGGCTTTGAGGTTTGCACCACAAAGTTGCAACATGCTCCTTTAACAACTTTTAAAATCAACGCAAACTCTTACACCCAGAGCATTCAAAAAAGACCCTGGAGCCTACAGGCCCTACACCCTAGCAACCCAACCTAAAACCGTCAACGCTGTAAACCCCGAATTAGTGCCAAAAGGCTCTCCCAAACGCCAAACTCAAGCCTTCATAAGCGCGCGAGCCCAAGCCTCGGCGGAGGAGAGAAGAGCCAAAAATGTGGAAAAGCAAGAAACATGACGAACTCAACCAAATGGGTAGTTACTTTTTTTGTCGTCTTGAGCGTCTTTAGGGTTTAGTGACTGATGTCTTCTGGGAGAACCGGAGAACCCAGAAGCCAACAACACCACCCCAACTTGTCAAGCAGCTGTTCACAACCGACTACACAAGATGCGAAGTGCCAGTGGCAAAAGACCAGGGCTCAACCAACACCCGAGCGATTCGCTTGCTCCCCTGCATCACTTGACAAAAATCGGGCTACCGTGGCTGATTCCCTAACATAGAACCATCATGCCAACAACAGAAATCTTAAGAACCCCAATCCCAAAGAAACAGAACCCACCTCCCTCAAACGGTCAAACCCCCAAACACTCCCTGAACTGTAAACACCTCTTCATCCCAACCCCAGACCTGCAAACCCCAAGAAGATCTATACCGGCTACCCTGAAAGCCTTGAACCTTGAAAGAATCGAACCCCTAAAGGCCTACACCGAAGACCACCCTAAACCCTCACAATCTCTGCGCACTCCTGTAGAGACTGAGAGCCAGAACAGTCGCAAGCAAGAACCCGGAAGCAAACAAGCGCAACAGCCACAACTCAAAACATGAAAAACAATAAAAAACGCAGTCGGTCGCAGGCTAAGCGGGCTTCCTTTAGAAGCATCAGAGGTCGGCACGCTGCAGAAGCTCATGGATTACGTTCGGCGGGGGAAGTTAGCCCCTTGGCCTGCGAAGCTACGGTGCCCCGAAACGGCGCATGCGCCGTTTCCTGTTCAAACTATCCACGGTCTGAGTGTGTGTGTGTGCCGAGTTATGATAAGGCGCCTCCTGGCATCACATGGAACCCACCCTGAAGAGTCTGTTGTGGGATATCTTTTATTTCCGGGGTTGAACCTCAAGACAGGACGTCACCCATCTCAAGTTCTTGGTGCTGGATGAAGCAGATGATCTGCAGAAGAAAGATGACAGAAAGGTGGGGGGATTGACTCGGAGTCTACGTCACTTGAAGTATGCATCTTGCCCGTAGTCTTTCAGGGCAAGGGTCCCCTTGATCTGGCTGTCAGGAAATCCCGCGCCTGAATGCGCAGATCAAGCGTGGCCGTCGAGACCGGGCACCTTCGATGGCAAAATTTGCTTGATTGCAATGTCCAGCCGGTTACCTAGAAGCCTTGGGCTGTGTGACAGTACAGGTCCAGACTCTCTTCTTCAGCGCCACTCTTCATACGCCAGAGGCAAGTCACTGATTTTTGTTTAGTTCTCAGCTCCTGCCTTTCCTTGCACGCTTTCCAGGTGGTGCAAATGATTGATGAGATCACATCCCGACCCATTTGGGTGGATCTCAAGGGCAAGGCTCTCCACTGTGCACGATGCGACTGACTCAATTCACCACGCCCTTTCTGGATTGGACAGGACTCCGTGCCAGAGACGGTGCACCACGTAGCGCTCTACATTGATCCGTGTGGTGCTGAGGGCCTGAGATTGCGATTTGTTCTGTCGAAGCTCTGACTGGGGAAGGTGTAGTGCACAGATGCCATGGCTATCGTTCCGCTCAGGTACCAAGATCTGCAGTGGAGTGATGCTGAGATCGCTGTGCGTGCCAAAGCCCCGAAGGAGAAATTGAAACAGCTTAGGGTGCTGAGTCAAGCTGCAGCATTGAGTCAAAAGCTTGGAGTACGCTTTGCTGGGATTTGTCGCGGTTGGGTCTGAATTGTGAGACGCGTGTCGCTTGCAAGTGCCTGGTGCTTGGCTTGGCTTTTGCCCTGACTCGGGTCTGTTCCAGAGTTGTTTAGGGGCTGCCGGAAGGGCGGCTGAACATGTGCTGGTCCGCAACATGGGGTGTGGAAGGTTCGAAGTCGGTTAAAGAGGTAGTGTTCATCTTTTGAGCCGTCGGCATGTCCGATGGTTTCGCAAAGAGTTGGATCGTGCTTCATGCTTTTCTTCTGTCAGAGCAGGAGCAACCAGAGCTTGACGGCGTGCATGCCAAACCCACGATGTCGAAAATTGACAGGCCAGAGACCAACTCGAGTGCCACTGATTCCGGGGTTCCTCACCCTGACACCCTGACACCCTAAGGAACCATCCAGATGCGCTGAAGATGTCCGAGAAGATCAAGATGATGAAGCCGAAGATGGTGGGGAACCGAGCTATTTGTGTGCACTGCATCCCAGAGCATGTGAGCATCAGGTGGTCAAACTTGCCGATGCGTTCAACATGCTTCAGACTTAGCTGGCTGAATCATTGAAAGCACGTTGTCGCATGGCCGCTCTCTTCATTTGTCAAGGGCACAGTGCCTGGTGTTCTGCCGCACGAATGTCGATTGCGCCTTGGCAAGATACTCCAAGCCCTCTGGACTTTATAGCACTGAGGGGGAAGATAAAGAGATTCTCAGATGTGGCCCGTAAGCCTGCCGTGACGGAAGTCCCAAGAGGACTTCTTCAGAATAGAGGCATAAGGAGAGTCTGGTCTTTGTACCAAGCAGGCGTGACCACTGCCCCTAAACTCACAGACCTAGCAGCCAAGCTAGCTGACTGGTTGGAACTGCAGAGAGGGCATTCAGTTGACCTTCAAGAATCTCTTCTGCCTTCTCTTATCACGATAGCCACCCCAATAAGTTGACACTGGACAGTGCTCAAATGTTTTCAGTGGGTGCAATGTTGCAACCGGCCACGTTGGGCCTTTTTTGTCACATGATCAGCGGGGCATCGCTTCAGTTGCTAGGCGGTTCGGCTGAGCAGGGCCCCAACTAGTACTGTAAGTCTGTGTGAGGCAACAACCTGGAAGACTACTTGAACCGCTTGGGCGGAACCAAGGTGCGCTTTTGAGCGCAAGAAGGAGAGTCTTAGAGTCTTGGAGCTCAAGTTTCCCAGGCTTATGGAGGCAAGATGGAGACTGGCAAGGAGAATCCCTACAGCTGTGTGGTCCTGGCAGGGATGCGCAACCAGGAGCCCGAGTCGCTTAAATGGTTTCGAGATGTGGTCCAAAATTGGGGGGCCAACTGCGGAAGTGTCAGGACGAGCGCCGGTCCAACCTAGAGTCCTTCAAGGAAGGTGACGCCACGAGCTTAATTACAGCTGTTTGGAGAACACTGTTACAAAACAAAGTACTGCTGTGTGCCATCTGTGATCTGCGCAGAGGTCCGCTTCCTGATTTGCACAGATGTCGCAGCAAGAGGCATTGATATTGCGGGATTGCCCTTTGTGATCCAGCGTGAGGCTCAGTGGGTTTCAACAAGACCTCAAGCCACAAAGACTTCCCCACTCGCAGTAAAAATGCTGAAGGACTACGCTTCCTGATGACATCGAGAACTACATTCATCGAATAGGTGCTTGACTTGGCAAAGTCTGGGGAGCACACGGCATGCAGGTGTGAATTGTGCTGGTTGACTCGCGGCCTGCTCTTGTCATTCCCGGTTGCAATGTGCCAAGGTCGATGTGGTCGTGCAGAGCGTATGGGATTGGCCATTTCAATAGCCGGCACCTCAACTGGCATTGATGGCTCCTTGGAAGCGCCAGACATTCCTTGAAGCTCGTGGATGGTTCATTCCTCCAAGGTGGCGACCGAGAAGGAGAAGGTCTGGTACCACAAGTGCCCTTCCCGGGGCAAGGACCTCTTGGCAGCTCCGGGTATCGGCAAATTGGGATGTAGAGGGGCACGAATGCGTTTGCCCCAGTGCTTGAGCCTGTCAGAAGGTTCAGAAGATGCATGTGGAGAGGACTGCAAGCCGTGGCCTGGAAACACGTGTCTGACGATCCCGTTTGGAACTGATGGCAAATTAAGGCCCGCAGCGCCTCGGAGTTGCGGAAGCTCAATGTTTTTCATGTGCTCTTTCCATGTGTGTGGGGTCAGAGGCCACGAGACGACGCGAACTGGATCATCGACGAGGGCGGTTGCTCCATCTGGTACGACGAGCCTGACCTCATCAAGAAGGCGCCATGTGCTCTTTGCTTAGCAGCACAAAGCCTTTGTTCAGGCTGATCACTTCTGAGCTCTCACAGGTGGAGACTCGCATTGGCATGCCGATGAAGGTCATGGACGCAGAGGCCTTGCCTGCGTTAACTGTTTCCTGGCCTTTTGCCGTGTGAGCTTGTGTGAGGACTTCAGTGTCACTGGGGTGTTGGAGAGCCCCTTCGGCGAGGCGGGGAAGAAGAGGTTGAAGAAGGCCCGGGGACTCTTCTCCATTTGTGTGTGCCATCTGGTGTACATTAAGGGTACTGGCCTGCAGAGGAGGCAACCGTCAAAGAGCCTCCGAGTCGACGTGCGCAGATGAGAAAGAAGGAGGCACAGAGGGCAGAGCTGTCGGTTCCCCATCTGCGCTGTACATAGAGAGAGAGAGAGAGAGAGAGAGAGAGAGTGCTAAAAGGATAAGAGCTGCAGGTGGAGGACGGTCATGTTCTCGCAATGTCCCTGACAATCAATACAATGCCTTTCCGGAGGAAGCTGCTGTGGTCGTCTACGGCGCCAAGCTACTTTGGCTTGATTCTTCTGCTATGCGGTACGGATGCCCATGCAAAGTTCAGATTTGCCCTGCAAGCCTTCAACCCTCCTACAGAAAAGAGGCAGCAACCTCATGTTCATGAGCCCAAACTGTGCTTCAGGAAGGGCGACAAGACAATAGCAATGACAGCGAAGCATACCAGCGTCCGCTGCCAAGACATCTGATCGAAGTGGGGTCGGCAGAACGCAACGTGTGCTTCAGTTGCTTCCGCGGGACCACATGTTCATTGTTTAGTGGCTAGTGATCGCCCGTGATGAGCCTCGCAGTGTCGCATGCTCAGCCTTTATGAAGACGGTGCTCTCCAGATCGCTAAAGTGTGCTCCTCTCTCGTGCTCGACAGGGACCATGTTGTGAAAGTAGAGATCGTTGAGCTCCTGCAGTGCCAAGGCAGTGCGCCACTTCGTGTTTCTTTCAGTGCATCACCAGCTTCCCAGAATGAACAGAACCTTCGATTGAGTTTCTATTTCATCGACCGCGCAAAGAGACCAGAGCAGTAGCCAGATCTGCAGCCGTAGAAGTCTTGGGATTTCTGGTTTGTGGCCTTAGAAACACATCTAATCGCCCTGTCGCACACTGCATCACACGGGAGTCCGCCTCCGGCTTTGTGAGCCTGCCGGAACCAGCGCTTGGAGTCAGTCTCTGGAATGCCTAAGGGCCGATTTTCGGCTTCACCCTGCAGCTCGCAACTTCTGCTTTCCACGCATCTCCGTCAGAGAGCACACCTCCTCCACAAGCCTGCGAAGTCCAATCCAGTCAAGTTCCGCCCCACACCAAGGTCACAAAAGGGCTACAGGGTTTGCAGTCCAAACCCCTGAAGATAGACCAGCTTTTGGTGTTGCAAGTGCACCTGGGAAGCTGGGATGAAGAAATAGCAGCAGACGTGTCTCAATTGTGCTCTTTCTGTGCTCCCAGACATGCTTCTTGCAGTCGTTCGCGTTAATTGGAGCCCCGCGAACAATCCGAAGGCTGATCCACCAAATGGCTCTTTGGTGTTTCACCCCACAACAAGTCGTGATAGCGTCTCCCTGTAAAAGACACATCTACAGTGTAATCAGCTGGTACAGGTGCCAGCCCGGAGGTGACTGGAATGTGAACGTCCGATGTGTAAGTGTAAGAAGCTCGCAGAAGGAGCTTGCCGTTGCCATCAGGAACAGTTCTTGATGAAACCACCACCCAACGATGCATACTGGCCCAGGCTCTTGCCCCTGTCGTGAGCGAGCTCGCTTCGCTTGAGAAAGAGATTCAGACCACCCGGCATGCTTTTTTGGCTTTCTTTGCCTTCTATGTCCCTACTATGGACACCAAAATGAAATCCTGGGAGGGCTGTTGTCGTTGATTGAGGCAGCAGGCTTGCAACGGAGGAAGGGCAGGGTCGAACATGCCAGAAGCAGGATTGAGGAAGAATCCCACAAAGTGCCTGCAAACCTTCGGAGCTCTTAGGGGCTTTCCGTGTGCACAGACGGAACAACCGGGTGTAGTGCCTTGGACAACTACATTCTGCAGGCAAATTTTTGCAAAAGTTATGTGCGGGGCCCCAGTTGCAACCGTGGTGCAACAATGGCATAATTTGTCCCGTCTTCAGGACTGTCGCCCAAAAGCTGTGCTTCAAAATTGTTTTGTCTTTCGCAAGGTGTCAAAGACGTGCGAATGTTCCGCAGCGTTTAGCAATTTGTAATAAGAAAGCTCCGGCCTGCCGCCAGCTCGCCTTTTTAAGGCTTGCGCATCTTGGCCAGATCTGCGCTTTCAGCATGTCATTAGTTGCCTACTTGCATGGCATGGGTCTGCAGAGTGTGTGCATGTGTAGCTGAAGGACTTCATCAAGAAGACACAAGGGTCAACAATGGCGATGACCATCGACTGCGACAAGCTGGTTTCGATGTCTGGGTGGCCTTGGCAAAGTGGTGCGATGTTTTCAGTTGTGCCAAGTTGTGCCAAGTTGTTCCACTGCCGATCGGATTTTGAGGTGCGTGACCCCCCCTCCGCCCGCTGTCAACTTCATTGAAGCGGCAGCTGGACCTCATGAGGAGACCTGCACAGGAGCTGTCCATGGCACATCCTTCGTCTGTGGCTCCCTCCAGGAGGAAGTGGCCACGCCCAAGTTGGTGGCAGGCCGCGGATGCAAGTTGTACCTTGCGAGCTCAGCTCATGCTAGATGCAAGGCACAGCTTGACTGATCAAACCATATCGAACCTTTCACGGAAAGGTGCAGGGCAGATGGATGGAATCATGGCTGACGTGGGAGTCTGAGTCAAGAAACATTCCCGTGCTGTGCTTCCGCACTTTTTGTCAGTGGAAGCTTCTTGAGGCCCTGAACAGCAAGCTTCAGCAACTCCAGGAGCAGATCTGGAACACAGAGGCAGACTTAAAGACCACGACGCCCCAGATGCCTTATTGATGCCCTTAAACCTGTGCTTTCAAGCCCGGAAAGGAAGCTCGCATTGTCCCCACATGCACGTCTGGCGAGAAGATCACACTGGGCAATGACTTCGTGAAGGCCAGGAAGGTGGTTCATGAAGGGAGCACAGCCGTTTTCCATAAAAACGGCAGGGAAGGGCATCTCTTCAAAGCCGCTACTGATAGTGATGTCAGTGAGTTCGCTTCGCTCCAGGCCACCAGTCTTCAGACCAAGAGATGTTTCTGGGATTGCAGCTGTGGCCATTGCAGGTGCCATTGCCTGGACAGCAAGTACAGCAAACTTCTGTGCCGATGCAACGTTCTCAGACCTATCCAGCCCGGAGGGGGCAGCCCGACGATCCGACAAGCATCAACAACTAACCGTTACTGACCCATAGAACTATAGTCCCAGCATCTCTCGAGGCAGATGCTGCCTCCTCCACCCATGCCACACTCCGTGCAGCGACCGCCAAAGGCTGGGTAGGGTGTGTTTTTTTGTTGCCTTCCAAGACCGCTGCTTTTGAGAAGCGCTTGTCTGAAGCCGCTTTTTTTTGAGATGCGCTTTCAGGATCCTCGCTTCCGGCCCATTCCCGACAGGGCCAATGTTGTCATCTCGAAGGGTGCCTTGGACTTCGTTTGTGTCGCCCCTTTTCGGTGGCAGATGAAAGGGTGCGTTTTTAAGAAGGGCTGCGTTAGGCCTGGCATTTGTAGCGGCCTGAAACCTCTGCTCCAAGGATCCGTGGGCCACCCCATGAACTGTGCAGCCGCATGCAAGTATGTGAAGCGCAAGGCCGAGCCGGGAGGTTTGCTGCGATTTCGGGGGGTCAAGCCCACACAGAGACGAGTGACACGTAGGGTGGCTGCCGAGATGGTGCCGACTGCCTGCTCTGCACGGGCGCCCAGGGGTGTTTGCTTCAGAGCTAGCACCGTGTCGAACAGCAACGAAATCCCTTTATAGTGATAGTCGGATCCCGAAAGCTCGCTCGGAAGTTGGTTGCTTGGGGGGTTGATTTATTAGGTTCCAGGGTTCAAGATTCAGGTTGGGGCTGCAAGGTTGTTTTGGCACCCTCACCCTCGTAGTGCCGCTTTCTGCATGTTCGCCTGGCCCCACAGCATGATGTGAGAAACGAGGCACGAGCCCTTGAGGCAGTTTGGAAGATGTGTGCACGAATTCTGTGATGGTTCTGGGTGTGCTTCGTGCAGTTTGCGGAAAACGATGCTGCTGAAAGTGTTGCCCCAGGCCACGAATGCTTCTGGTCAAAGTCATCTTCGAAAGAAGTAGAGACGAGGACAAGATGTGATGACCGTTGTCTAAGTCCGCCAACACCGCCTATGCCTCATCAAGTTGCCAAGTGAAACACGGGTAGGGTGGTTCGAGCTGCTAAGAAGCTAAGGCTGCAGCGAAGAGAGTTGTTGCTGCGAGAAGCTTGTGCAGGGAGCAGCACCTCCCCGGGCTTCCACGGGGGTCTCAATGGGGTTTCAAGGTGTTTGTCACGGGGGTTCCCAGAGGTCCGAAGGGCGAAAGGGCTCACGCAAAGCCATGTTTTTGCTGTGCCCCTCAAAGGAGGGCCTATGGCATCGGATTGAAGACATGTGGGGGGCAAGGGTTGGGAAGGGCGAGCTTGCCAGCCGTGTCTGCTTGTTCCAGACGCCGGTCTGCGCGAATTTCTGCCTTTGTTTCGGAAGCGTGGATGTTTTTGCGATCCTGCAGTCCACTTGCAGAGCGTTGCAAGCGGAATGTTTGAGTTTCACTGACTCAACTCAAGCAGCGTCTCAGCCAGGAAGGACGGCAAGGCCGCCAAAGTTGCTGCCAAGATGGTTAAGATATATGTAAAGATTTTCCTGTGCTCAGTGATGGGTCGCTGGTGAGTGAAGCTTTGCTGGTGTTGTTGGCTTCAGACTGTTTGACGGCCTGCAGGCCGAAGCGGAAGCGGCGATGCGAACAAGGCGCCGTGGGTCGCAAGTGCGTGTGTGAGACTCTGGTGGTTCACAGAGACATGGCCGCATGTCACCTCGGGGTTGCCAGTTGCTGACTTGTTGCTTAGACGTCGAGCCGCTCGAGGCAAATCACAACGGAAGAGGATAGCTTGACGGACAAGTTTGCGCGACTTCTTGCGACCCAGGTGCGGATTGCATTTGCCAATGCTCCAGCTGTTTGTTGTGAGACCTGCAAGATGCAATCTGCACGGGGGGATGTCCTTTTTCGCAAGCTGACAAGGGCTGCAGTGTTGCAAGTTCGTGCGAAGTGTACGCGAGACACGCGAGACATTGTGTTGCCTGGAGGAGCACATGGCCCTAGCACCTCAGATGCCTCTCCGGCAGGACAGCACAGAAGTGGAAGGTGCACCGTTGTGGTGTTTGCGGCGGCTTGACCTGAGACACCCTCAATTTAAAGCTCGGATCTCTCTTCGAAGTGGTGCCGTTCATTGCATGTGGAGCCTGGTGGCAGCATGTGTCTTACATTCGTTTCCCTTCTCTCTGCATACCCGTGTAGGACATCTATCCAGCTGACCTCGGTGTCTTTTCTCTGGGCCCCTCGGCAGAAGTGAGGGTCAGTGAACGCGCAGGCGTCGCTCCTATGGCTACGACACCTAGCGCCGCATCGGACATGTCTTCCCAGTCTCGACTGAACAGTACTGTACAGTGTGAGGGCCAAAACATTCATGGATTCCGTTCAGGGACTTCTTAGTTAAACAACAGTTGATTGCGATAGTAGCCGGACCAGCACCCTGGGCTGTGTACTCTGTTTGTTGCAGAAGTGGTGCATGCAAGGAGCTCTGGGACACCCGCTTGCCAGCAGCATCCAGAGCACACCCGAGGGTGGCTCGGCCGACAGGAGCATCAGTTGGTTCCCAAGGCCGTGCGTTTCTGCTGTACAGGGAGGTTCACCCGATTCCGTCATTTGTCGTTGCTTTTCAGAAAGAGTCCCTTCGCCCATCTTTGAGTTCTACATCAGACTGCGGACACACCCCCACGGCTCCAAACATTTTGGCGTCTTTGTAAGCAGATTTGCAGAAGGACCTTGCAGGAAGGTTTGCAGGATATGCAGGATACACGTGTCCATGAGATGCATGTTGATAGGTGGGGTTTAGTTTTTAGGTGGGTCTTTGACGGGTTTGCCTTTGTGACCAAGGATCCATCGCCGGCGTGGAAGGACGGCTTCGTGCCCCCCCCTTGGGGTCCTGGCCGACTACGTAGCACTACGTACAGCACTACGTACAGCACTACGCAGCAATGCGCAGCATGTAGCAATAGCCGTGACATCGATGGAGACATCGGTGGCCGTCAGGAGTCCCACCTCCAGGGTTAGAGTTCCCTGCGATGCCCATGCCCGGGACCTGACCGTGCAACGGTTTATGCTCCGGGAGTTTCGCGGAGTTCTCACAGAGTTTACAGTGACTTGCAGGTCATCTCTGATGAACCCCGGTTCCCTGGGCCACCCCTTCAGTCCAGAGCTGAGTACAGGAAGCAGGAAGGGAAGAGTTCCCGACAGATCTGAAAGATTTCTTGAGAGATGATTGTAAGAACAGTAGTAAGATGTGTAAGATGTGTAAGATGTGTATGTCACATTCTTGCGAGGCTGTGGGCCCGCCTGCAAATATGCCACTTGGCGAAAGGCAGAGAACGTTTGCCCTTCACTTCCAGTTCTGAAACTTTCCCTCTCTGAGGTGCTGAAGACCAGGGGTTGCAAGGATGGAGACGCATGCAACCACTGCCACCTCTGCCGCGCTTTGACTGCACTCACCTGCACTCAAGATTCTTAAAGTCGGCTTCGAGGGTGTTTAATGTATTTCGCAATGTGAACTTTCGGCCATGTTCCTCAAAGCTCGAGGGACCGCAGTCGATCTGAGCCTAGCTGTTGACTTTATCACGTGCTGCCAATTTGTCTGCCTGAAGGCTTGAAAATAGCCCTGAATGGCACACAAAAGCATACTGCTGCATGCAGGCTGGACTCGCTACTCCTCAAAAACCATGCGGCTCTAAAGCTCCCTGGTGGCAAAAAGCTTTACTTGGCTTTCAAGCGTAGCTTCACGTAAGTTGAGAATGTCTCTTAAGACTTGACTGGAGCACCCTATTGCATAATCTTCAGCATATGTTGGGCGGTTCCCGAATCTGGGGAAGAGGCCATAACATGGCACCGACCTGATCAGCATCTTTGAGAGCTGGGCAGAACTTCTTGCAAGCTGACAGTGTGTGACAGTGTGACATGAACCAGGCATTTCGCTCCAGTTTGCTGAGGCTGGTGATGGCCTCCGAAGCCAGAGACGCTGGCAAAAGGTGGTTGTCAGCTTTTCTAGGTGCTTGTGGAACTGAGTGCCCCTGCATTCGTTCCGCGAGCGCAACCGTAAGCATTGTTTCTAACATGATGCGGTGCCTCCAGCCGCGTGGGACAGGCGGAGCCTTCCTAGATATCTGCTGAACTTTTGAAACTCATTCCAATTGAATCTCAAGCTCTTTTGCTGCATGCATTGCCGCCAGAACGCCGTGGGTTGTAGAGTTACTGTGGAGGACAAGTTTGCGGACACTTTTGGGGAGACTTTTTGCAAGGCAATCACTTTCTTCAGGCTTGCCTGGGAATGCCGATGTATCTTAGACTTGGGGCCATGTAGAAGTCTGTGTTGTGGGGTGTGAAGATTGTTTTGAGCACGGTGTGGGACCAGAGCTAGTCCACATTCTCGATGCCTGTCTGGGTTCAGTAGGGTCATATCAGTGCTTGGAATGTACGGGTTTTTGGCTTTTAGCTATCTTTAGCTGCTCGAGAGATGCAACGGCCTGCGGTTCCGCATGGGACGTGGCGGAAGAAGCCTCCGGTGTGCACCATGTACGCCCTCTTGACCGGCAGGCCATGACACCTGGAGGGTGTCAGGATCCGCCGTAGTTTCGCCGAGTTTCTTCAGAACTCGTGCTCTATGCCGCCTATGCCGCCCGTGGGTTGCCAATGATATGGGACCAAGCAGAATGCCAGGCTGTGCCTACTTGGGGCCAAACTAAAGCGGAGCACAACGAGTTACTCGTACTGCCTTTAAACAACACACTGCCAGTGCTAGAGGTCCATGGCATTCTGCAAGGTTGCTGCTCCGCCCGTTCCGACTCAGTGTTGCATAGCCCAGATAGCCGATGTTAGCTTGCGTGGGATCTTTCTGTTTGACAAGGGTCTTGAAGGAGCAAAAGCCAAGGTACGTTCCTGTCTCAGCGGTACAGCCAGCAATGCGAAAGCTGGATAGGTACGCAAGGCTACTTGCACTGCCTTCGTGCTCGTGTGCGCATTTGATTTGTCTTTTCAGCCAGACGATTGTTAATCAAACTCAGTTTCAATCGGGCATTGCCGCATGGATCTCCGGGGAAGTATCATGTTACGTTGGTTTCTCCCTGCTTCTAACCCGGGGGTCCAGCCGCAATACCATTCTTTGCAGGACCCTGAACAGTCGCACAAAGGGCAGCCGAGCGCCTGAGTTCCTGCTGAATTTTTGCACGCATGGGGGTGGCCCGGGAACCAAAAGGATGGTCGCGTGGCCGAGCAAAAACGCCAGCCCACGTGGGGTTGCCTCCCCGTGCAGGTTTGAAAGCGGGTCTGAGCATGGTCTCAAAGTGTGCAACACTTGTAGATCTGCGCATCCAATATCGGAGTAGTAGTTTTGTGTTCACCGACGATGCTCCCCTTGGACATTGCTGCTTCCGAATGTCGGATCTCTCAGGCTCAGTGGTCCGGAGCGGGGAGCAGAAACCTGACGGAAGCCCTTCATGTACAGGCGCTGTGCAAACTCTTCGACATGTGGAAAGCGCCTTGAGAAGCTTCTAAATGCTTCGAGGGCATAGTCGGCATAGCCAAAGAGGATTGAAGCTGTACGGAGTCAGAAGGGAGCGGACTCGTGCTTGTCCTCGTCAGGGCGACTCAACTGTTTTGGTGCGCTTGGAGAGCCTTGGTTGGCTGCAGGCATCATCAGTTCATCTTCCACGACTCTCAATTCTTTGTTCATCTCTGCTCCAAGCCCGCAGCACTCACCTACCTCTCACAGAAGAGGGAGGCGTGACCCCAGCCCCTTTGCTTGGCTGTGCGCATTTTGAAGACCGCACGCACGAGCAAATGGTGCCTAAAACCACTCCTTGCCTGGAACAGCAAGGAAAACAGTGCAAGCCTTGCGCAGGTCTTGTGGGGCTCCTGCAATGTGATCGAGAACCCACGAATCCATCAACTCAGGCCAAACGAAATGACGACAAAAACCTCAGTTTTTGGTTTGCCTTGTTGGCATTCTAGGCTCCAACAGGGCAGAAGGGCATAAGCCTTCTAAGGACTGCTTGCATGCAGAAAGGCTTGAGCCACTTTTGACCGGCGAACCCCCCGGCATGCAAACCTCCAAGACGTCTTCGGTTCCATGCTGTGTTGCTTACCTCTGAGGTGGGGCAACGCGGCTGGGACAGGCTTGAGCCGGACAAGAGCTGGAGTTTTTTCCTCGTGCATTGTGTCATCTGAGTCCATCGCCAGGCGGCACCGTGCCCTCGCAAGCAACGAGACCAAGTGACCCTGCTCAGTGCGCAAAATTTCACGCAGTGTGATGTGACAATCACCGCTACGTGTTCCTCCATGCTGGGCACGACCTTTAGTTTCGCTCACAGAGCCATGCATTCGAGGCTCGAAATGGCTCGGGCGTTGAGGTGTTTCGGTTGTTTTGTCTCCACAAAGGGCTTGGCTCGGGCTTTGTGGGCATGCGGCTGCGGGCGGAAATTCCGTCGGAAAGCCAATGGCCGCTGCTCCGTGTCGGCTTAGCCTCTGGACTCCTCCACCGGCTTCGTATTTAAACGGTAATTGGGGCCCGGGGCCACTACTTCCAAGTTCCGGACCAGAACCTTTGTATCAGACCCAAGCAGATGTTTGGTGTGACTACGGGAGGTCACAAGTTTGGGTGGATGAAGCCTCATTGCCGTGCTCAAAGCTCTATGAGACTCTCCTGCCCTTCCCTATACCTTTCGGAATTGCGTGGCTCATGCTGCTGAATTCTAAAGTCGTTCTGCACAGAGACTGCAACCTCGGTGCAACCGCGTGTTTCCTGCGTTTTCCAGGTGCCAACCTCCAAGCCACGCCAAAGCCGGCAGCACCGGCAGCGCCGGCCGCGCCGGCCGCGCCGGCTGCACCGGCGCCGAAGGCCGAGGCCGACCTGCCCAGTTAGCCCAGTTCGCCGAAGGAGGCAAATTTCGAGCCTTGGGAGCGTAGGCGCTGTCAGAAGGGCACCAGATTCACCAGACAGAATCTGAAAATGTGACATGTCCATCATGTCTGATGTTCGAAGATCAGCCTGGTGTGAAGGGCCCCGTGGACATGGAGGTGGACGGCGACACCCCGGCCAAGCGCGTGGCCACAGGTCTTGCTGGCATGCTTTTGTTGCTGGCTCTAGTATCTCAACTTGCCCGTTAACCACGGTAGGCCTTGGAGTGTTCGAGCTTCTCTGCTGCGCCCCGCTTTCTAAGTCAGGATGGGCGTCTGGAGGCGGCAAGCCGAAGCGTAAAGCCCGATGGTAAAGTCTGCACAAGGAGAGGGCTTGTGTGCACACATCCAGTCGCATGTCGTTCCTTCACACTTTGCTTCTTGCCGGGTTGAGATGCATTAGTCGAATGCGTCCGGTCCACTCAATAATCAACATGACATGAGTGTCTTCACCATTATCAGATGTCAGTCTTGTTTCCTGTGAACATGGTAGTGGAACCTCGGATTCAGAATGGTCTTGTTGATGCGCTGGTTTTATAGTTAGTTTCTTGTTGCCGTTTCGCAGGAGCCATCTCCGCAAGCCCCACTTGCATGGAGACAGGCGCAGAGACCAGGCGGGTGCAGGCAGGATGGAGTGGGGACTGAGTGGTGTGTGTCTGTCTCTGTCTCTGTGTGTGTGTGTGGTAAGGGAACATATCCAGATTCGTGGCCCGAGTCCCTGCTTGCAGGGGCGCTCCAAATTCGCCGTGCGTCTTCTGGTGACCATGAGAGTGCAGTAGATATTGTAGCCAACCGTGAAACTTTCTTTCCAGTCTGATGCTTTGCACTTCCTTAATGCCTAGTCATTCTTTGCCAGCATAAGCTTCAACTGCCTCCTCAATGCAAACAGCCATGCCCATTAACCCAGTCGCTGCAAGATGTTATGGAGCGACGGGTTGCATAAGATTGCAAACCTTGTGGATCTTGCGCATGACGTGAACGCTGCGTGATGGGACCGCTCATCATGCCATCACTCTGCGTGTAGCATCGCTTCACAGACTGCGATCACGTTTCCGGAGCTGCCAGGCTCAGGTTTTCGGTGACACGGGCAACCAGAGACAGCCATTGGCAGATTTGACAGCGCCTGGATTTGTCCATTGCACTGAGCGTCAGTCCTCATGGCAATCAGCCATTCCTATAGTTTGACAAGCCAAGCCAACTCAAGGTATTACTCTAGCGCTAGCTTCCACTGAGTCACTAAGCTAGACGAGGCTTCAGCCCAAGCTTGTGCCTCCAGACGCGCGCGCCTCGTCCAGTCAGCGCTGGCTGGGACGGGCGGGCCTATGCCATGGGAACATGAGCAGACGAGTATGGAAGCTCCAAGACTTCGTAGCGCACACAGGCAGGTGGCCAGAAAGCTCATAGAGGTAGCAAGCGCGATTAGATTCCCGAGCGCAAGTCTTCCAGGTCGAGTACAATGTGCTCGACTTGGCGAGAAGTCTGGTCAAGTCGCCTGGCACATGTTTTGCTTGCATACACCTGCACGGCAACGGTGGTTTCGAGCTGCCGTGTCAGGTTCATGGGTGCTTTCTAAGGTTCTTGCGACCGGGGGAGATGACAAGCGGGTGAACATTTGGAAGGCCTCCATTCCGCTAAACGTTTCAGGCTTTTCGGGCAGCGCTCTCTGTGGCAGCGAAGGCATCGCGGAAGCCCAGTTGTGCTGTGCTATGCCGTGCGAGGTGGGCAAACCCAATGCCATGATGAGCCTAACTGGCCATACCAGCTCCGTGGAGTTCTCAGGGAAAAATTCCCAGTTTTGAATCCGAGTGAAGGCTGTCCTGTTGGTGTCTCTGTGCACATTGGTTCAGAATACGGTCATGGCGTCGAGGTCGAGTGCTTGGTTTTTGACAAGCAAGAGGAGGTCTTGATTGTCGGCTGTGCTGGTGGCTCGATGCAGTGCTGGAACCTGGAATACAGGACGCCCCCCCCCCCCATGTGTCACTACCATCCGCATCACTTCCCGTGATTGACAGGAAGATGGCAGGCTCGTTGGCCGGGCATCGGACGGCCTGTACGTGTGTGGAGTGCAGGTCCCAGCACTGCTAGGTGCTTCAAAGGTCTCTAGGAAAGCTGGTGTGAGAAAGCACAAAACACGTGTGCAGAGCTGACAGAGGGGTAGCGAGGTTCCACCCCTATGGCGAGTTCTTCGCATCGGGTTCGAATGACACGAACTTGCTCCTTAGCCACATAGAGAGAGGGGAGGAGAGAAAGAGAGAGAGAGAGAGAGAGCGACTTCAGACCTGACGGAGAAAGAAAAGCACACGGAAGAACGGGGCGAGACGGAAGAGGAGGAACCGAACCACGAGGGCGACAACGTGAAGACCCAGATGAGTAAGAATGGAGTAAGACGGAGTGAAAAGCTCAAGATGCTTTCGGGGCAACAAACAGTCTCCGTAAGGAGAAGTCAAGAGAACCAAGGGCCACGGTTGTCGGGGGATTGTGGACGTTTCGGCAGGTTTGGAGAAGGGCTTTGTGGAAGACCTGGCAAACCCCCCTAAGAACGGGCACTTGTAGGGGACACTTAAGTTTGTGTAACGGGGGGTACACCGGGGGTCACGAGGTGCAACACTCAACAGTGTTTGTTTCAGCTCTCAGGGTGCTTGCTGTGGTGGGGTGAGGCCATGTCGGGAAAATAGCGACCCCTGGGAAAGAGTTTCAAATAACAATGGATTCGGGCGCGCCCCGCGTGCGGAGCGGCCCAGTAGGGTTCAGCTCAGCAGCAGAAGAAGAGAGCGAGAGAGCGGGAGAAAAAGAGAGACAGAGAGAGGGAGATCGGTGGTGTGTCAGCCGAGCTTTCAACCCTCGTTGCACCTAGCTGGGGGTTTCACACGAGACCGGAACTTCGGGCGCGCTAGCGCGCGGGGGCCCGCGGGCCCTCAAGCCCAGCAGAAGAAGAAGAAGAAGAAGAAGAAGAGGGAGAGAGAGAAGGCGTCCCTCTCCAAATGGAGGGGGTTAGGCGCGCAGAAAGAAAGATGGGGTGAGTGGTTGATCCGTCGGGCGTGTGCATGTAAACCGCACGTGTAGCTTAGGAAGTCAGCCTTCTCTGTCCCGTCTACCCTGCGGGTGGTGGTCGATTGGAACCGAAGAAGAAGAAGCAGAGCCGTAGCCATTTTGGCTCAAGTTTTCGGCCCAAGGAGTAGCCTGAGGGAAGTTTCGGAGGTCTCAGCCTTCCTAGCCTGGTAGCCAGCCTAGGACAGTTTGCCCAGAGGTGCCTTCCTCTTAGCCATGGCCCCCCGCGAGTACATCTGTTGCAGTGGTACAAGCTGCACAGGATGGATTTGGGCGGACAAGGCTAAGCAGAACCAGCTCTGCAAGAAGTGCAGAACACCATGGGCAAACAGCATTCGCAAGGCGAGACAGAACTGGAGCCAGTGGAAGCCACAGTGGCCTACGGTCGCTGAGGCAGCTTACTGGCAGCCACCGAAGAAGCCCAAGACTCCGAAAGCACCACTGCCGAACAAGGTCCTGCAAGCCCTTGGAGTGGCGTGGGACAGTGTGCCTGAAGAGGTGCAAAAGAACCTCAGGGAGGCAGGGTACAAACCACCCAAGGCACAGGTCAAGGAAGAGGTGGACGATCTCACAGACCTGTGCCAGAAGCACGAAGCCGCCCTGCCGGAGGAGGTCAAAGCCTACCTGAAGGGCCTCAAGGCCAGCCAGGAGGTGACGCCCTCCCAAGCTGCAAGCCAGGCCAGCCAGAGCTGGCAAAGCGCAGCTGGCAAGCTCAAGCACATTGCTGATCAGAAGATTGGCCTGCAGAAGCGCATTGACATGGCGAAGGAGTCATTAAGGCAGCTTCTACAAGAAATGATCGTGCTGAATGAGCAGGCCGAGAGGGCACAGAAGGCAGTCGAAGCAAGCTCAGGCCTGCTCAAGGAGAAAGTCTTCTGCGAATCCGCTGCGGACATGGAGGTCGACAGCATCCTCCATGAATTGGGGGTCAGCCTCAACGAGGAGCAAGAAAAGAAACTCCATGAAATTAAAGCGGAGAGAGAAGCAAAGAGGCGTCGCACACAGGAGGTCCCCACCCCTCCAGGCCTTGAGGAGCGGTGGCCGAGGGACTCGGCGTGTGGGGCCTGGAGCCCCAAAGCAAGGGCCCCGCAGAGCCAATGTGCGACCCCAGCCCAGGGCTGGAACACATGCTGCGAACTGCCCAGCAGTTCCTAGTTGCGTGTGCTGAATATTACGAGCAAGGTGCTCACATCAATCTACATGGGAAAAGATTGAGGGAGGCCTTGGGGAAGCAACTTACTGCAAACAGCAGTGGTTGTGAACAAGGCTGGCAGAAGCCCAGCTACTTTTGTCGGCCTAGAAAGGAGTCGCCAGAAAGCGTTCCGATCACAGGGCCAAAGTTTTTTAAGCTGGACCTCACAGATGATGAGGCACCAGCAGAAGGCGAACAAATGAAGCCATCGTGGGAGGTGAACCCTGATGGGCACCCTCTGGTTACCCAAGGCGCCTCCCCGACACTATGCAATGATTCAGCCCAGAAGGTGACACCTTCCCTCTGCAGCCCAGATGACTTGGGTTCGGAGATGACATGGCAGGAGGTGGTCAACCTCCTGGAAGATCCAGCGAGCCCCTTCCAGGCGAAGGAAGCCACCCTTTTAAGCTTCATCGAAGCCCAAGAAGAGGTGATGGCGGAGGACTCCCTGGCCTGGGGTTGGTGCAGGATGGTCCTGCACGCCTTAGAACAAGGAGAGGATGTCACCGGGAAAGCTATTCAACAAGCAAAGGAGGTGATAGCCTCTGAGATCCCAAAGAAGGAAGAGTCCCTGACACCAGAACAGGTGCTGGGTCAGCAGGAACGAGAGGAAGACCCTACCCGAAGAGCCCAGCCAGGAGAAGGTTGAACCTTCCGCCTCGCCTGACCAGTATCTAGGTATCATGAGTGCCAATGTCACCAGTTTCAACAGCGGGGCACTGGAGTGGGTGACCTCCTCCAAAGCCAAGGTGGTGTGTCTGCAGGAAACCCACCTCACACCGGAAATGCTGCATGGCAGGAGAGCCACACTGCAAGCCCTAGGATGGGATCTCTATGCTGAGCCGGCCTCCTTGTCGGACAAGGGCACAAGGTTGGGGGGCACTGCTTGTGCATTTCCCAAAAATAGCGGAGTGTGGCAAAAAGCCACCTACCAATGCAAAGGGGCAGGCTACACAGCTGTGGGTCTGAGACAAAGACGATGGGACTACACGATCGTGTCCCTGTACCTGAGGGACACGGAAGGCCTAAATGGTCCCACGAATGCAGAGGTGCTATCCTCTCTGGTGGCTTTCGTAAGAACCCTCCCGGAACCCTGGATCATCCTGGGAGATTGGAACCTGGACCCGACCGAAGTTCAGGACACAGCACTGATTCAGGTGATGAGGGGGAGGATGGTAGCCACTGGAGGCTACATGCAACCATGGGGCGGAGCTGGATTTTGGGGTTGTGAGTCGGAGCCTGGAAGCCCTGATGGATCTGTCTGTGACCTGGGCAGTCCCGTGGAAACCACATGCAGCCTTGCACCTCAAAGTCCAGGACGGTGCCAGCGAATGGAAGTCCTGGAAGCTTCCCCAGTTCCCGAAGCTCACGGCAGACCTCAAAAACCAAGAATGGCGAGAGGCAACCCTCCCACTTCGCCATAATGGACAGGACCTGTGCCCAAGAGGACCAGAGCACCTGGCAACTGGCAACCTGGGCGGCCAGCCCCCCAAAGGCTCTGAAGTGGGCTGGTGGGCACGAATGGCCAGAATCCTGGAGGAAGTGCCCGCCTCCCAGCAGCACCTACCGGACCTAGGCCCCCTCCAAACCTGTCAAGACATTGCTGAAGGAACTGACTTCCTCACAGAACTTTACAAGCAATGTTCAGCAAAAGAACCACAGTGGCGGTCTTTGAGTGTCGCTGCCAGGCACAAGGAGGCGGCCCTCCAGATGCAGAGAGCCAAGGAGCAGCAGGCCCAGTACAAGGACTGGCTCCAAGCGGGATTGGCGAAAGGGATGAGACCTCTCTATAGTTTCTCTCAAGAAGAGTGAGAGAGTCCTAGATCGGCCCTTCCAAAACCTCCCAGGCGAAGAGCGCCCAGGGGCCAGGAGGAAGCAGTGGGTCGCAATTTGGGGAGAGGTAGAATGCTCCCCCCCGATCGGCCAGACCCTGCTGGATGCAGCCAAAGCCTCCCCGCTGTTCAAAATAACAGCAGAGGTGCTCGAGGCCATCCTCAAGAATGTCACCGACAAGGCAGGAGGTCTTGATGGGCTCACCTATGCTGCCCTCAAAAACCTCCCTGGGCCGGCCTATGAGCAGTTCACCCAAGTCCTGAACTTGGCTGAAACCACAGGAGTGGCACCACAGCACTGGCAGGCGCACCATGTGGCACTCCTGCCCAAAAATGCTGACATAGAAAGGCCCATAACCCTCACATCCATCACCTACCGGCTTTGGTGCTTCTGCAGAGCACAGGTCGTCAAGAAATGGATGCGAGAAACTGCAGAGAGGTTCCCATGGGATAAAGCCTCCCCGGGTAACACTTGTCTAGAAACAGGCATGCAGCGACTCCTGAGAGGAGAGGTTAGCCGCGCAGCCAACAAACATGCCTGTGCGGTCCTGTTGGACCTGCAGACTTTCTATGACAGTGTTAATTGGACCAAATTGGAGGAGAGGATAGTGGCGACCGGCTTCCCGCCAGCTATAGCCCTCCTGGTCATGCAAGTATACCGGGGAACGAGATATCTCGTGGCAGAGGATCTCCTTTCGGAGGGGATCCTCCCTGCGAGGGGCATCCTCGCAGGGTGCCCGTTCGCAACAATGATGGCAAGGGTTTACCTCCAACCCATAATGCAAGAAGCCGCTCAGCTCCGAAATATCACCGCCTTAGACACCTGGGTGGACGATATCGGAGCGGATTTCGAGGCACGATATCCTGAGCAGGCAGCTTTTGCGGTTTATGAAGGTTACAAAACCCTTCGCCGGCTTCTGGAAGGTAGCGACCTCCGTCTGTCCCTTAAGAAAACAGGCTTCCTGTGCACCACTGCAGAAGCTAGAAGGGAGCTACAGAAGCTGCGCAAAGATGGGGACCCGGCTATCTGTGATAGCATGAAGGATTTAGGCCTGGACTGTGCCCTGGGTCGGGTCCGAAGGGTCAAGGTGCAAAGAGCCCGAAGGCACAAAGCGGGCAAAAGACAGAAGAAGTTAAAACAACTGAGAGTCCCGAGTGTGCCGGCCAAGGTCCGCCTCTTCAGAGGAGGGGTTGCCTCCGTCCTTACTTGGGGCCACCAAGCCCAGGGAATGCCACCCACCCGGAGACAGAAGCTCCGGACTGCCCTGGCTGAACAGTGTGGCAGACAGAAAATGGGCAACCTAGAGGTGGCTCTGTCCTCTGTAGGAGACAGGTACCAGGATCCGGGTCGCACCATGATGGTCCAGCAAGTTGAAGCCTGGTTCCAGCTCAAGAAGAGGTGGGCCGGCAAGGAAGACCTGCTGGAAAGAACCTGGGGCCTCACAGTCCAAAAGCTGGAAGAAGCCGGCAGCAGGTGGCAAATGGTAAGGGGCCCTCTGGCAGCCACAGTTGCATACCTGCTTGACCTGGGTTGGCAGCCTAGAGGCAGTGATGAGTGGCTGGACACCCAGGGCACCAGACACACCATGCACACCCCACAGCAGGAGTGTCGTGTCCTAGACCTCCTCCAGCAAACATATCAGAAAGACGTGGATCGCCGCATCGCCACCGGCCTCGCTGCCCCTGAGCTAAAGGAGGGAGTCGACTGGACGGTAGGGAGGAAACTGCTGGGGGGTTTTAAGAAAGAAGGGCGAACCACGAAAGCAGCTGCCCTGAGGTGCGTCTGGCAGGGTGCCTTGGTTTGCAGCCAAAACTCTGCTGTCAAAGTGTGCCCCCGATGCCACGAGGAAGCAGATTGGGAGCATGTCCTCCTGGATTGTGCCTGGTGGGAGGCCCAAAACTGGGAGTTGCCAACATGGTTCCAAGAAGGCAGGGCCCAAGGCCCGAGATCACTGTGGACCAGGGGCCTCCCGCCCAAACCCAAATGGGAGGTACAGCCTCCACAGGAGGACAATCCCATCTTTCTGGGTATATGGGCAAACAAAGAGGCCCTCAATGACCCGGAGCTTGTGTATGGCACTGATGCTAGCGGGGGGCCCTATACGGCGGACCCGAGACTCCGGCAGGTGGCATATGCAGTAGTAGCCTGCAAGAAACAGGGCCAAGAATACGTCCAGGTAGGAGCAATCGTAGGCCAAGTCCCTGGACCACAGACGGTTTTTCGGGGGGAGCTGTATGCCGTTTTGCAGCTGGCCCGTTATACCGAAGGCCCTATTGACACGACACTAGACTGCCTTGGTGTCCCGAAACGAGTCCGCAGCCCAAAGCCGGGCAAGACCCACGGTGACATCTGGTGGGAGCTGCAAACCACAGATGTCAACCGCCTCAAAATGAAATGGGTTCCATCCCATGTTTCAGAGGAGGAGTTCCTCCGGAAGGTGGGTGCGGAAAACTCGTGGAGACAGCAGGTCAATGACCTGGTGGACAAGCTGTGTGGGGAAAAAGCGGCCGAGCTGGCCCACCCTGCTGTCCGGGCAGCCAGTCAGTACCAGGACCATTGCAGCAAAAAAGCACAAGAATTCCTGGCGAGCAGGGCGGAAAAGATCCTTACTGCCATTGGGGAAAATCAGCACCCCGTGTATAAGGTCTTCCTGCAGGAAAAGCAGGCTCGCAAGAGCAACGAGGCCACCTCCAGGCCCTGCAAAAAGCGCATTGGCTCCAACATAGGGAGAGGCCACATCACCACCCAACAGGAATGGTTCCAGGAGCTGGTCCGGACCAAACCTGTGCATGCGTGGGAATGGGAAGGTCTCAACCTCCGGTGTGCTCAGTGTCAACTTAAACTCCTGCACACAAAGAACCGCAAAACCTTGGAAGCACTGGCAGCGCACCAATGCACACACCAAGGCAGAGTGACGGTTGAAGGGGTACATGTTACACATGTTTTAAAGCTGCTAGGGGACAGACAACTGTGGGTCTGCGAAGGTTGTGGTGGACAGTTGTCCTTGAAGACTAAAAATGTTTCGCAAAAACTTTCAGTTGCATGCAGTTTTAAAAAGGACCCCAGGTGCAAGGCGCAGTTTAAGCCCGAGCCAACCAATGCCATCCGCAGCCTCTTTCAGCAGGTGCAAGGGACAGCCCAAGTTGCAGCAGACCCCCTGTGCAAGATCCCTGAAGGCACCGGCAGCTGAAGCAACCTAGGAGGTTGCATCCTCCCAGTGAGGATAAAGTGAAAGTCATCCTCGCTACCAGAGAAACCACCCCTGACCGATCCCCTCTAACAGCCTGCGCCAGGTGCACCAGCGGCCTTGAGGGAACTTTTTGTCAGGAGGTTTAATCCTCTCATGAGGTATCACCCTCTGGTAGCATCCCAAACGAGGATGATGGAGTCGAGGTTCATCCTCGCTGCCAGAGAACACACCCCTGGCCGATTTCCTCTCACAGTTTGCACACAGTGCACCAGAAACCTTGAAAAATGTTTTGCCAGGAGGTTCAATCCTCTCATGAGGTATCAACCTCTGGTAGCATCCCAAAGAGGATGATAGCTTAGGAGGAGGTGATATCCCTCCCCTGTACCATAGGGCCAAGAGGGCCATCAGATGTGCCAGTACAGAGGCACGGTTTTCACAACCCAAACACCAAGGAGGTGGTTCGCACTAGTTCGCTCAACTCGGAAAAAAAAAGAAGAAGCAGAGGAAGAAAAAGAAGAGAAAGAAGACAAACACGGGTCGTAATTTTATGGGCAGGCTCCCGAGAACCGCGCTTTTTTTCCCCCCCCCCAGTGCTGTCGTAGTTTTGTTTTCCGCTTTGATAGCTGCCCGGATCGGATGGGGAGGCGTGCTCTGGCATGAACGGGGGACGAGGGTGATGTCGGGAGCCCCCTGAAAGAGAGAGAGAGAGAGAGAGAGAGAGAGAGAGAGAGAGAGAGAGAGAGAGAGAGAGAGAGAGGTAGGTAGGGGGAGTGTAGGAGGGGGTGCAAATCCGCGGAGTATAGAGTACAGAGCTTCCACATGTGCCGCAGAGCCAGGGGATAAGGTTTGAAGGGAAGGGGGAGGGGAGGTTGCTTTCGGACGGTAGTCGGGGTTGCTGGGGGACTTGGGGCGTTCAGGGTGAGGGTTGCGGGTCGAATTGCGGATGGGGTAGGGGGCCGGTGTTGACTGGATACGGGCGCTTAGGCGACGATGGGGGATTGGCCCGACAAGGAATGGAGAAGGGCACTAAGGAGGCGCCGCGGAGCCGCCAACAGGGCGGCGGCATGTTGTGACAGAAGTGGTTCGCGAGACGCGGGATCGGGGCGCGCCTAGGCGCAGGGTCCGTCCCTATACCCCAAAGAAAGAAAGAGAGAGAGGGAGAGAGCCGGTTGTCCTGCACATGTGCTTCTCCAAGCCCCATTGCCCAGGAAGATCTGGGATTTACGGCGCAAGTCTTGCATCCAGACTTATCCAGGCACCTGCTAAGCAACAAGCAGCACAGATGGGCCGTGTAAGAATGTGGGCTTGCCAGGTCACTCGGCCCCAGTGAGTGCAATCCGTTTCTCACCGCATGGTCGATGGGTAGCGACCGGTGGCCTGGACAACCAGGCTCCTTCCACAGAGCCCGCAGAGTCGTGAAGAGTCATGAACAAATACGACTGAGTTATTCGGCTGTGAAACGCTTGCCGGTCTGTGAGCAAAAACTGGTGTCTGCTTGGCAGGTAAAAATATGGGATCTCACAGCTGGCAAGCAGATGAAGGACTGAGCCGAAGCCATAGAAGGAATCAAGAGCCGAAGCTGTGAGACCAAGGAATGGGCATGCATACATACATTGACCTTAAGGAGTGGGCATGGACAGGGGGGGGGGCTACCTTTGAGGTACCAATGAAGGGAGCGTCGGGAAGCGGGAGAGCACTCGAGAGTCTTCAGGAACAAGAGCCCTCTTCCGTAGGTTCATATGACCTCATTCCGAGCAATGTGCTTTACCCCAAAAGTCGGTGTGTCAAGCTCAGGTCTGTTTTTAGGGCCTGGATCCCCTATTGCGAGTCTAGAGTCTAGACTCGGTCGAGTTTGAGAGCACGCTTCAGGACCTGGATCTGCACAAGGTCCGCAGCGAAGAAGCTTGTTCGACTCGTCTGCTTCTTTCACGTCTCTTCTGCTTCGTCGCTGGATTTCTGACGGGTTCGATTCGCAGGGAGCTGTGACCTCGTTGAGCTTCCACCCCAAGGAGTACCTGCTTGTCTCCGGCTTTTGGCTAAGCCGCGCACGACATGGACGAACGAAAGTGAAATTGTGATTCTTGAGAATCATTGAGAGTAGATCGCAGGGTGACACCTGGCGCCGAGGCTCTGCGGACCGGACGGTAATCCTCTGGAGCCTTGAAAGCTTTCTCAGCGTTGGCTTGGCCTGGTGTTCGGAAGCGAGACGGGCCCCCAACGTTGCTTCAATTGATCCCATTGTGGTCTTTCCGCCAGGTTGGTGTGTCCTCCATTGGTGCCACCCCTGTACAGGCCAGATCTTTAGATCTTTAGATCTTTAGGCAGTACCGGTTTGCACTTGTTGCTTTTCCGGCGTCGGCAACTTTCGTGCTTCATGTGGAAGCCCGTGAAAGCTGCTCGCAGGCAGTCAAGTTCTACCCCGAGGAACAGGCGTGGCTGTGAATCCGATGTTTCCTGTGCTAGGCTTCCTGAGGCAGCCATGTTCTCAAAAAGATATCAAGATGGGCAACTCGACGCACAAACGTCTCAGCTCAATTTCGTTTTTTTGATATGGCCTGGCTTCGTAGTTCGTAGTTTGCATGAGCTGGTAGATCTAGACGCGTGTTTTGTTTGAGAAAGCCAGTAAGCCATTCTCGCAAGTAACCCAGCAACCTTGAGGAAGAGAGGGTTTTGTCAGGCTGTATCCTGTAAGAAAAAGTTTTGGGTGGGGCCTTCGGAGCGGTGTCGAAGAATGCCACGGATGTTGCAGGCCGGGGCCAGAAATCCCAAGCTCTTTGCAATCCGCAAATGCAGGAAGCCGGAAGGTTTGATGGGAAAGCACTTGAGCACTTGACATTGCGCCCAAAGAGCAAATTCAAACACGGAGCTCTGAAGGCTGTAACCCCTGCAGTCTTATCAGCACTAGCCTTGTTTTCGGCCAGGCCTTGCAATACAATCGTAGCAAAGAGCATCTCTACCGGCAGCATAAGGCTACGGAGGCTTCAATCCCAACTCGCGAGATCAGTACCGATAGAGACAGGTGCAAGGCGCAGTTGGATCAGGCAGCATTGGAACAGAGGGCCGCTAGAATTGTGGAAGCAATTCAGCCTACCAGCACAAGGTTGAAGGCAAGAAAACATGTGTTTTGAAAGCATAGGTACCGCGCATAGATTGCTATATACTATTTGGCCTCATCACGCCGGCACGACGCCTGATGAGCCAGGCTGTGCTCAGCGCCTCGCACGACTTGTTGCGTCTGCATCCTTGCAGCGTCGGGCGCTGAGTTACAGAGGGCGAGTAGCTTCCAACAGCCCAGCAGGCCCAGCAGGCCCGCCCCGCGAATGCTCTGTGGAGGCAGTGTCAAACGTTTCTGATGCCATGGATGTGGACTGGAAAGGCTTGCAGGCCAAATGCTTGCTTGATGACAGCCATGTGAGTCTTCTGGTAAAGCAAAATCGGGTTGCAGGACATCCGACTTTGCTACCCGGAAGAGAAGCTCCTGGCCTTGCAGACATGATTTCTAGGTTCCGGACTTCCGGACGTGACTGAGGATTCAGGTCACGCGAGACACGTGATGATGGAATCATGGTGGAGTGTTGTGGTGCTTTGCAATGCATCCCCCGCGGCCAGAGCCGCCAGGCCGTATCTGCGGACGGGTCCCAGCTTGGCTTGTGGGTGGCCATTGCCTTAAGTAGTGTATCCTAGCCGGCCTAGCCGTTCACAACTCAAGCTCCTGTCGACCTTTAGACAAGAAGTCAAAGTCAATGCGAGTTTGAGGCGGACCTTCGCAGCAGAGATGCTTCCAGGGTGCTGCGCCGAGATTTCGAGGACAGTCAGAGTGCGGCCCGTGGACTTGCCATTCTTCCAGGTGCAGCCAGCCCGCCGGCCCGTCACTGGAGGCTGCGAGACATTGGCATGAACGGCATGTAAATTAGGACTCAAATGGAGAAGCCCAGTGCGGCCAAACTTCGGGGAGTTGTTAATATGCACTTTAAACCCCCCGAAGCTCATGCGTGGTGTGCAATGTGTGCATTCTCACGGTCTGAGAGGCAACTCGGGGAGAGGGTCGCCAACGCAGGCCTGCGCACGGGAGACGGCAGGAGTGTGGAATATTGTTGGATGGTGCTTGGTGTGTGTGTGTGTGTGGGCAACCTTTCTCATTCTGCCCCTCGTTGAGCATGTGTCCAGTGGAGGCTCCACCCAGACCGTTTCACCTGGAGCCGGAGGAAGAGCGGGTGCGCAGCTGACTCCGCTTCGTCCATGTGAACACCACGTGCAAAGGGCTTGCAACGCAGAAACACCAGGCTCCGGCGGCACCGGCAGGACCGCCAGCACCGGCGCCGCCCGCACCGCCTCCGGCCCCTCCGCAGAACTCGCAGAGCACCCCGAGCCCCTCAGAGGTCGCGGCCGGGTGCCCAGTCGCAGGCGGCATCGCAGGTGCACCGCAAACAATTTGCCCATGTCCGGGCAAAATGCTTCTTCAAAAGGCATTAAATTTAATTAAAGATCACATGATGCTTTTCTCTCTCTTCTTTTTTCCTTTGTTGTTTCGTTCTTGTTTTCTTGTTTTTTTTGTCCGAGGCAGAAGCCAAGGCTGCGGCCTTTGCTGCGGTGGAGCGCTTGGAGCGGTTCGGCAGACCTCCTGGGCCTCCGCCTTCTGGGCCTCCCGTCGAAGGCGCTGTGGAATGTTGTGGAGATCTGTGGAGCATGGGAGTACGCTGTGGCCTAGTCTCCAAAGCTCTTTTAGCTTTGGTCAGCGCCTTGCGATGCTGTCGTGCCTTGTTTCCACCGGGCACCTGCCAGGGGAGGCCCCCGCTCCTGAGCCGCCGAGACGGCCTGTGGAGCGCAGGCCAAACGTGAAGTTAAGAAGGCAACATACAAGACGATAAATTGCAAACGAAGAGAATAGAGTAGAATAGGGAACCATGGACTGTCACAGCCGCGATGTGGCCTGTGACATCCTGCGACATGGCGGTGACATGATGCTTAGTGAAAGCAGCGCAGCTCGCTGAGGGATGAGAGACAAAGCTGTGGCTGTTGTGAACTTTCGTGAACTTTCAGAGGCCGCTGAGCCCCGGAGCCTCCGGAGCCTCCGGAGCCCTTGGAGCCTGCGGAGCCGGCGGAGCCGGCGGAGCGCAGGCCCTGGGATGAAGCGTCTAAGCGAGGGTACCTGCGGCCTTTGTTGGGCATCCCAGGCGTAGGACATGGGGTGTGCTGAGTCTTGAGTGTGGGGCGTGATATGAGGTTTTTTTTTTCCATTGGCTCTTCGCAGGTGCAGCCAGCGCCCGCCAGCTGCGCCCAGTACAACGGGGGGCCTCGCCACGTTCCCGACAGCTGCCCGTCCGATCTCGTGAATGTAGAGCTGTAGCACCTTCGAAGGGAACCTCACACACTAGACAGCACCATTGTTTTGTGCTTGTGCTGCCATGAAGTAGGGGATCCTTTTGTAGCTTCCCTTGTACTTGCCTCGTTGTTATTCAAAGTTACCGTTCCCAGGTGTGCGCACACCACCAGCTTCAACCCTGCCTCCTACCAGGACAGCTTTGCTCGAGGGCAGAGGCGACGCCGCACGTGTGCTCAATGGTGCTCATGTGTTCAGGTTGGACATGGAAACGGTGTCTGCGCAACACCCGCAGATGCTTGGGGTCCTGAAGCGCAGGTTAGTCGGAGACTCAGCCAGACTCGGGATCCGCAGGTGAGCAACATTGAGCAACAGCAAAACACGTCGGTGCCCCCAAAACAGCGAAACGTTGAGAAACTTTGACTGAGGACCAGTCCAAGAGGCTCTCAGAACTGTGGGCCGGGTCCTCTGGGGGGAGCCCAAATCTCCTACGCTCTCTCCTTTCTTGCTCAACATGATGGCCATGACCATGAGCCGTACCTCGACTGTGCCTCCAACTCTGAGGTGAAGGGCAACATCACGGCCATTGACACGGTTCTCACTCTGCCGCAGGACTGGGCTTTAGGGTCGTTGCTGCTATGACAGAGAACAGCCGACTGGAACTGGTACCAGGTGCGTGGTGTCGGTGGATGAAGGGCTTTGCATGAAGCACAACGTCTAAAACTCTGGGTCGGTGGTCATCTGTGGCCATTTCTCATATGATTGAGCAGATGCTTCTTTCATGGCAGGACCAAGACGTGCTGTGCGACTTCTGCAGATCCTTGATGCAGCACCTTTCTCCAACAGAATAAGTACATGAACTTATTAGGTGCAGAGTATGGGGCTGCATTCCTCACTGCTGCACAGGTTTGCCCGCAGAGCTGTCTTCTTTGAGACTGAGATAGTTGTCGCTTCTGCGGCTTGAGATGGAAGCATACGGAATCTACACATCAACATAGTGATGCCGGTCTCGATGACTACGCGTGTCGCTGTCGCGATATTGGATACACGGTTCTGGGTGTTGGAGCTACGCCTTCGAGACTCGGGTGCCGATTTTGCAGGTTCGGATCGCTGTAGTCCTTCTCGCTCTGGCGCTTTGCGGATCTTGAAGTCTCAATGCCTCAGTCTCATGCTGGAATTATGTTGGAGACAGCCGAAGTCAGGCAAGACCTGGGCAGCGTGCTGAACCTAGATGCAACTTGTCATGAAAAGGCTGAAGGCTTCAAGAATGCTTTGGTCCCTTGCAGGTTGTGGAGCAGTATTGCAGACGGTGCGGTGGCTGATGGTTTTGACTGTGTTGTCTCAGGCATGCGCCGCGTTTCTTCCCTTGCTGAAGGTCCGGAACACTGTCAAGAAGTTCTGCTATTGCTCTTTTGGCCTGAGCAGTCACGTTTGGGAAAGAGGCGGCCCTACTCAGCTTGGCAGGAGTTGTTAATGACATGCAAGTACGAGGACTTCATTGCGTGCCTCCAAGTCTTGAGGTAAGCAAAGTCTGTAGATTCTGTGATCCACGTGCGCATGCTCCTATGGTTCTCTGTCGATTCAGTTGATTCCCAGGCCATTGCGCTGGAGTTCACGGCTTTGCTGCTTGACCGCTTTGGCGGCCTGATCAGTGAGTTGGGCTTCCCAGATGCCGTGCACAGCTGCTTTTGGGTCCTGGAGCAGCAGACGAACCCGAAATTGCCCACAGCCCTCAGCCCTACTGTGGCGCGAGCATGCTAAAAGTCTTCTGGCAGTGCTTCTGGGCCAGGACACGCGAGAGCTGTGCCAAAATCCCTGAGCCGGGAACTGACGAATTAATGAATCATTGTGAGCTCCACGTGCCATTGGCAAAAGCCCCCTGCTAGGATCATGTAGGATTTAGATTGGGTTCCTACTTTATCGCGTGTGTCGAGAAATTGTCCAAAGTGTGTAAAAGCCTAGGGCTCATGTCTTGGCCAGATGCCTCCCTATCTGAATCTGTCCGCGGGCGAGGGAAGTGTGGCTGAAGGCGTCAGCTCGATCTGGCCAGGGAAGGCCGCTATCGCAAGTGCAGTGCGCCGAGCCCTCAAAGGGGCCCAGACTTAAAAGTATGCCTGGCTGCACGGCTTTGCATGCGGCTGTTGTCGCGCCCAGGTGTTACGATCAATTCAAGGAGATCCACAAGCTGCTGGGCTCAGGCGTTGCCTTGCCATGTTGGGGGGTAGTAGAATGGCGGAGATGCAGGGGAGGTTCAGATCACTGGCACTGGAAGATCGAGAAGCTCACGGGTCTGAACCAGACCTTGAGCCTTAAGCTCCTCCCGGTTCAGGTTCGTTTTGGTCGAGCCCCTCTGCTTCTTGTGTGCAGGCCACAACGGCACAACCAAGCGAAGCGCCAAGCTGAACAGCAGCTTGCAGGTGTCGAGTCCTCCTCCCCCCTTCTTTTTTCTTCTATTTCTATTGTATATATACATCACCTCCCGCTGTCTCCCTCCCTCTCTCTCGCTCTCTCTCCGTCTCTTCGTTCCATAGAGCGTAAGGAGCCTTTAAAGCTGAGTTGGTTCAGTGTTTCTGTTGCAAGGCAGCAGTTCTCATGAAAATGTCTGTCACGCACACGTGAATGAGCTCTGCTGACCATGCTCCAGGCGTTCCTGCTCCGTGGGGAGCGAATACATGGCTGAAGAAGAGTTCGCGTGAAAGTATGCCCTAGAACAATTGAAGCAACGAGGTTGCTTCGTTCCAAGTACATGGCGATATGTTAAAGGCAGCTCATTACTTTCCAGGTGTGTGCAGAGCAGTCTTACGTTAGTTCCTGGCAAAAGCCAAAGTGCCTTGCAGCGAACGCTTGAAAGCCATGTGCAAAGAGAGTGAGGCATGTCAGGTGAGTCACATGACCTAAGAAGCATCGGTTGGCACTGCTCGTGTCAATGTCTAGCCGAGAACTGATGCAGGGGCGCATCCGCTGGGTCAAAGCCTTCTGAGCCTGAGCCACACCATACTGCAGCGTGCTATGCTGTACTGTGTACCGTATGGCCAAGCCATGTGAAGACTGGACATGCACTGCAAACAGCTGAATTGGAAGGCAGCTTGCTCAGCACAGCCCACTGACGAACCTTCCGAAGAGCATCGCAGTACACGGGATTGTTCCAGATCAGCCGATGCTAGTTGACAATGGCATGCGGTTGCAGCCTCAGCTCCAGATCTCTGGGCCTGACGAGCGGCTCTAGTCAAGGCCAAAGACCACCCCAGTCTGTTCGATGGAACTCGTCCGCCTGTCAAAAGTCTGTTTTGGATGAGAACAAAGTTTCTGTTTGCGTCCGAAACCGCAGCCCAACACTTTCTTCGCGCTAAATGCTCATCTCATGGCATCTATTTCTGACATGAGCGGACATGGAACGATCATGACTGGGCCTTTGTCCCGAGCACCGAGAAGTCATGGGGATGTCCATGTTGCATTTTGCTTCACGAAGGGCGGTATACTCCCTATCGCCTCGGTGAAGCTTCTTTCAGGCTGTCCCGCTGCCCCGTGTCACACGGTGCCTGTGAGGCAAGCTTCCCAGCACTGCTTCCTGTGAATGTCTTGGGGGCCTCGATTTGTCTTTAAGGCTAGTGTAGCGGAGCGTAGCGTGCACTCATGCGGAGTCGGCCTTGAACCTAGGGCCCCAAGAGCACCATGCCTTGTGCAAAGCCACTGCACTGCGACCACATGAGCTCCCTTACATTGTCTTACCACAGTTCAATGTGGTCGGCTGTGTTGTAATTCTTTCATCAGCTTTCATCATGGGCCAGTGCCCATATGCAACCCTAAGGCCCTAAGGCTTAGATCGGTAGCTGCCCACCGATTGCAAGTTTTTGTGGCAAAGTGCTCACCGCACCTGACACCAGGCTCCCTTCCCACGCTGCTCATGCGAATGGCAGGCCAAGGACCTTCAAGCCATCACAAGGCAGTTGCAAGCTGCCAGCCTAGCTCCGGTTTTGCTCCCCCAGTCTGGTCTACCACTCGCCGGCAGTCGCCCTTGCGCCTCTCAGCCTGCACTTCGACCGGATGTTGGCGGTCCGTTGTGTCCGTTGTGTCCGTTGTCGGTGCAAATCATTGTCAAGTGCCTGACGTGGTGCGGCCAGATGTGTCATCAAATCGAAGGCCATTTCCAGCAGCGTGCAAAGTTGCTGCTCCGGCACTTGAGGCTGCGGGCTCGAACCAGCTGCAACAGTTCTCACATATGGAGGTGATCCCGTAAACTCTGTTGCAGGCTGTGCCGCGGGTGTGCCAGGGACTCCAGTTCCACAGCATCTTAAGGTTTCGAAGGTTGTTTTGCTTGTGGGTTCAAGTCGAGACAGACTGGCTGATGGCGGTTCGGAGCAGCATTGGCACCTGAGGTCAGCAGCTGATGATGTCTGGATGCCAGGCTGGATGCCAGGCTGGAAGCTTGTGGTGGCTTGGCTCAGTTTGGAGATGCACCGGATAGTCGGAAGGTGCAGCTGCCCTTGCGCCAGTCCTCGGCCGCATCATCTGTCAGCAAGGTGCACGGGTGGATCCAAAATCGTGATTGCAAGCGCTTGCGCGCGCCGCGTGGGCAGCCGGGGGTAGGGCCCTGGGTCCCAGGACGGTGTCTGGGTTCCCGAGAATCTTCGAAGCTTGGGTCTTTTGTGCAGCTTCAAGCAGCGCCACACACATCATGAGTTCAAGAAGGTCCGGGAGGCAGGTCGGCTTTAGGAAGTTTAGGCTGTTCCAAGGAGGGTCGCTGGGAATGGGGGTGTGAGGGGGGGTGTCAAACTTTCTGGCTGCCTGCTTCTTCCGGGCAGTCCTTTTGGTGGCATGTTACTTTGGGGTCACGTTTGCTGCCTGCTCAGCTCACAGGCAGTGGTTCCTGTTTCTCTCTTTTTAAGCTTCGGACCACTCTTCCCTGCCTCTCCGGTTTCGTACCACCCTTCCTGTAGAGGGTTCGCCTGGGCTTCTTGCTGTTAAGCCCCCTGTGAGGTTGGCCGCCTCAGGCCCTAGGCGTTTTTTTCGTGTGTTTTGGCGTGCCCTCTGTTTCAGCGCCTTACGACTGACGGCCGAGGCGAATGATTTTTTGCCAGGTGTGCAAGAGAGACTACATCCGAACGCCTTCTTGTGCCGTTTATGGCTCCGGTAGCACTGCACACATGGGATCATCGACTTGAGCCAGGGCAGAAGTTTCCATGTGGATGCGTGACAGGCCGGCCATCAGACGCCAGCCAGCACCGCCCGCGTTTCAACGATGGCCAGCAGAGCTGCTAGACACTGGCGACTGTAGCAACAGCTGTAGCATGTGTAGCATGTGTAGCATGTGTGCAGCTGTAGCAGCTGTAGCAACATTAGCAACTGCTGCTGCTTGTTGCCTGCACTTCTTTTTGGGGGTCTGTGGAGTTCATCGACATAGCTGTTTTTTCCGCACGACGCAGACAGGAAATGTAGGCACACATAGGCACGGCAAAGGAGACCCAGGCACAGCATTTTGCCTGCTGCAGGCATCCTTCGCTCCGCCAGAAGGTTGGGCTCAGGCTTGGGATCTCCGTGAGATGACAAGAACCTTGTTCGCCCATTGTGGCCTTGAATATGAAGTTGTGACACGTTCAGTGTTTTGTGGGCATCCGTTGCAAGCTCCGCTACCATCAGGCCCAGCAACAAGAGATTGACCAGTTGCGCGAACAAATACAGGCCGGTTCTTCGCCGTCTGCCGAGCAAGCGCCAGTTTTGCATGTTTCCCCTGTGAAATCCCCTTGTGAACTGCTGACCATTTGCGACGCCCAGTGACCTAATCGGAGACTCTGGCAAGCATCAAACAGTATTCTAATGCTCGCCACAGAAACTAATCACTCGAGGGGCAAGTAAATGTCAGATCTGTTCGTTTCAACTTTAGTTGTGTGTGGGTTCTGGGCATCGGCTACGGGCAACAGACGAGTTTGGTGCATGTTGCCTCGGATGGTTGTTGCTTTGCTATTGGGTTTTGGTTTAGCATTCGTCCTTGCATCTCACGTGCCGGCATGAGCCATGATTGCGTTTTGAGTTGCAAGTCGAAACGAAAGCCAAAACTTTTGCTTGAGGAGCCACGGCCGAGCCAAGGTCAAAGCAAATTAAACTAAAGCGGCACGAGACCATTCAAGAGGGCAACCTCGAAATTTCAACGATTGCGTTGCTTGTTTCGTTATGGAGAAGTCGTGCTTCCGGGTTCCCAGGTTTACAAAGCCAACGAGGCACGCTTGCAAGCGGAGTTGCAGGCACGACAGGGAGCATCAGGGAATTGCCCGTGGCACGGCACATCAAGGCATGCCAAGACATGGGACTTGCTGTGGCTTCATACAATCCTCGCTTCATCTTGCTTCTGCTTCGCCAGGCTGCAAGAGAACAGATCGATGGCTTGACAGTGGAACTGGCGGAGGAAAGAAGTGGAAAGTTTGGCGGTGTAGTTACGGTAGTAGTTGGTGTGTTCTTGGGGACTGAGACCGTCAAGGCAGAAACGGCTGCACTTCTTGTGCGGTACGCGACAATGCTTGCGTGCTCTGAGGAGAAGCGCGCCCGGGCACAGGCTGTACTCGCCCTTCCAGCGGAGAAGGAGACAGCAGAACTCCCAATGCGAGTAGCGCTGAATTCAGCCGTTTGCGGTCCATTTCTGGCCAACGCTGTGAGATGCTGTGAGGCACCTCGGACACCAAAGAGCCCGAAGAGCCCGCAGCGTGGGACGCGATCGCCACGTTCCTAACGTTCCTAGAGCAGCCTGAATGTGCCCTTCAAGGGTAGCAAGATGTAGAAAGTTCACGCCGCTAAATGAACTCAACTATCTGTATCCTCAACACCTGAGCATCGATTTGCCCACAGCACGTTGCTCCGAGATGACACCGGAAGAAGCAAGCGCAAACAAACTGTGACAACTCCAACTTCCCCACCTCATCCCCACTTCTTCACCCAGACCCGCTTCAGCGCGTGCTGCTGGAGCCTGAGCCTCATGGATCTGCGGGCGGTGCTGCTGTGCCGAATGTAGATGCAAGCAGTCTGCTGGGCTCAGTCCCCGACCCTACAATGTCGTCCTCCAAAGATCTCCAGCTCCCAGCGGTGTCTTTCATGGTTGTGGCTGCTGGAGCTCCGATATGCCTTCTTGTGCAGGACCGTAGCCGAGCAGCGGAGCCGGACTGTCGGCGGCCCAAGATGCCAAGGGGAGCATGACAAGTCGTGAATGCCCTGAGCCCGGCTGAGCCCTGAGCAGGGCTGAGCCTGAGCAGTTGTGCAAACTCTGATCAAGAGCACAGGTGCCAGCACCAGCGGCACTGGCACCGGCACCGGTGGCACTGGCACCAACATCGGTGGCGGGGACGTGGCACCTTTCGCAAGGCCGCGATTTGCCGGTGTCTGCGAAAGTGACTCTGAGTCGTGTACAGCATGGAATGTTACAGCGTGTGGCTGGGCATCGCGTCATGTCGCGACATGTCGTGTCTGACAGGCCACTGAGCGAACGCCCACGGGTCACAAGAAGAGGTGCGGCAATGGATGATACGAGCTTAAGACTTGAAGGCTTGAGTCGGGCATATGTGTAAAGGGGAAGAGTTGCCAAGACTTTGAGAAGGCAACGCCGCTACTGCCGCTACTTGAAGTGATCAATAAAAATCCAATATAGCTGCATGTAGTCCTGCATCAGCCCATCAAGCCTCCGGTGTGGCTACCGCAAGCTTGCTTTGCTTTTCCTCAGGGCACACGCACGCACACGCTTATGCTCGAAAAAGGTATGCTCCTCGACCCTTGTCGCATGAGGCTGCTCACAGCCTGTTTCAAACCAAACCTGGTGATCTCACTTCTTGTGTCGTTCGGTCGTAGCGTGCTGAACCCTGATCGGATTTCCTTTGGCAACGGTCGTGAGCTTGAAGGCGCTAAGTTGAAAGCATCTAATCGGCTTGGGTCCAGATCCGCGTTGAGGCTCCTCTCCTGCAGCCCTGCGGCGGATTGCGAAGGACGAGGCAGCATAGGTGAACACACCGACATGAATTCAATGACAGGTGAGGTATCCATGCCGGTCATGCGAAGGAAACCATGACTGTATTGCAATCTTTCAGGGAAGATCAGGGTACGGTAAGCTTGTGGCCCGGGCCATGTTGCAATCTGACGGATTCAGGTGGACACCAAGCTAACCGAGTACCTGACTTCATCTCCGCACTGCAAGCTCGAGTTCTGCAGGCAAAAGGGGCAAAGGGCGGAGGGAACTTCTTGTTTGCGCGCTATCACGGCCCCTGTGAGAGACCTCCAGGTTGAACCAGGGCTGGCTGCGCTGCCACGATTTTGAGACGTGGCGATTCAGTTGGGGTCTTCGCTAGTGGATGTGGCGTGTATGAAGAGCGTTTGTCATATGGCAGGTACCAGTTCCGCCACGCGGACATTGCCATGGAAACAAAGTGCCTGGAGGTGTGACATGGTGTGACTTTTGCAAGCTTGTAAGCAGCAGCTGCTATGTGGCTAGGGCGGTCACAGTCCCAGCTTGCGATCAGAATCCTTGCCTGACGTGCAGCAGTGCAGAGTGATGCGGAAAAATGAGCTTGGGGCAGATGTCCATCGTCAACGGCAAGCTCATGGTGAAGCTTGAGCCCACTTCGCACGACCGTGGATGGCTCCGCTCTCGGGTATTAAGCCTTATTAAGCGGCTCTGGCAGCGGCTAGAAAGCTCTAAGCATTGTCTATATAACCCTGGTGATCTGAGAGCCCAGCAGAGCTTGCAGCGGCCGTATCTGAATGGCAGCAATGGCTCATCCATGCACTCAGATGTTTGTTAATGCCATGTTTCGTCAGTACTACCGCTGGTCCAGTGCCTATGTGCTTTGCCTCACATTGCCTCAGAACGATTCTTCCTGACATCTTGTTAGTCATCTTGCCGGTCGGAGTCGTCCACATGCGTTCCAATGGAGCTTTGCCTCCTTTCTCGTGCGGAGCGCCATGGTGGCTCTGACCTTCGATGATGATGGCGAATACGGGTGGACAGCTGAGTTTGCTCAGTCGTCGCGGCAGCGCCAAACTCCAAACATGTTCGGACAAAACACGAGGTTCGAGAACGTGTAGGAGTCAGCAGTTGTCGAGGGTGGCATGTGTCCCAAGGCCCGTGTTTCAGACGCTCAATGCAGTCTCTTCAGTTCTGTCGATCGCTGGGTCCTTGCTGGCCCCAGCCTGAGCGGCTCGAGCGAAAGAACAGAGAGCATGCAAGAACGTCGAACACCGTGATGCACGCAGCACAAGTATGTTGGCAGTGGCTGTCATCGACTGCTTACTTCCTCCATCATCCTCCGCACACTTCCGTTCTTAAGCATCTCTAGCTCCCATCTTCTGCTGTCTTTTGATTTTTCGAGCTCGAGGTCATCGGTGTTTTCATGGCCTTTCCCCAGCTGAGGCCCCCCAAAGGGTTGAAGCTTGAAGTAAAGCCAGTGATTGTGCGACGCATCCCTTTGCCGCTTCCGACCCTTCTTCGCCTGACATGTGGTGCGTGCGATGTGCGAGAAGCTCCCATTCCAAGCGTGTGTGAATGCTGCGCACCGCCGTTCCATGGGCAGGCGGTACTTCGCCCGTCTGGTGCTGTACTTGGCTATCAGCGATCTTTGGCTCTGTACGTCCTTCTTGATGGGCCGCTCGCACAATTGGACCTGTCAGAGAGATCCGGAGCTCTGTGGTGCGTTTCTTGCTGATTCGTCAGTGGTGTGTTGTAACTGTTATGAACCCTCGGAGGCGCCTTTCAAAAGCCGCACTACACCAAATGCACCGTCCAGGCACTGCTAGGCCCATGGCTCAGCGAAGCAGGTTTTAGGAGTGGAAGTGAAGATCTTGTGGCTTCCTGATGCTGACTTCCACCATCCAGATCCACTCCCCCTCTGAATCTGTTTTTGACTGTTTTTGTTGCATCTGTTTTTGTTCGGGAGGCGTCTTCTTTGGCTTGTCGTCCGTCCTCTGGACCGTGGCGATTGCAGACTCCATCCGTCGTGCGACCCCTACTTTGCATCTACACACACAGGAGTGCGGTCATGATGTCTGCCTATCAAGCTACGTGCAAGGGATCGTCATGGCCCGCGACTTGACTGTAGAGAGTCGGCCGTGGCCTCAGCTGGCCCTCAGCAGTTTGTGTTTCAAGGCTTGAAACGGACCAACGCTGGGCACCCGATAACGGAAACGGACAATGCGTGCCCATTAAAGCCTCATGTCGAGCCCACCGAGCACTCAGGGGCTCGGTCATCGTCACCATCATCATTATCATCATCGGTATCGTTATCGTCATCGTCATCCTCATCGTCACCGTCATCATCATCATCAGCATCATCGCCAGCTGGAGTACGATTCAGGCTTTTTCACTTTGTTGTGGATTTTTTCATCCCCACATAGTTTGCCTAAGATCGTGCTCAAGCCCAGCATCATAGGCATACATAATCGTCTTTGGTGCAGAACGTCTAAAGAGGGTCACAAGGCTTCGTTCGCTTTGAACAGAAAGAGTTGAAGAAAGAAAGGAAGAACTGATAAAGAAAGATTTACAAATAAAGAGAAGAAAGAACTAACTTAATCGCAAACATGGGGGGCCTTCAGTCAAGGGGGGGGCTACTTGCCACACTGACTGAAGAAGCGGGGCTCACTTTTGCCGACACCGTTGAGACCCACACGCCTGTGTGGGCTAGATGGAGGGAGAACGCCTGAACTCGGGGGCCAATGGGAAGTGTTTCGTGTTTCTGTTATCTTTTGCCTAGCTTCCGCCTAACACAGGCGAATCACAAGGACTCTGGACAGAGCAGCAGGCCATCGTGGCTCGGTCCTGGGGGGTGCTTCTTCGCAAGAAGAAGACAGAGAAGATTGCGCCGGGCCTTCGGGCCTGAAGCCCTATGAACAAAGAAAGAACAAGAAAGGAACAATTATGTGAGAAAACGAGGAATAATTAGAAAAAGTTACGCCTGAATGAAAGAACGAAAGAACATTCAGAGGAGTTTGAACGAGCATTGCCATACGATGCAGATCGGTGGGTGTAGAGCGTGCCGATCAGCATCTGCCAGGGCTGGGCACGAGAAGCCAACTGAGAACATCATGACGAGTTCTTCTCTTCTGTCATGGGGGGATGATGCGGTAGTTGGAGGCACGAGAAGCGGCTCCACATTGTGGGTTGGGGTCCTCATCTCAGACACGCTTCTCGTGCTGAATGCGCAGCTCCAGCTCTTGTTCGTGACTCCAAGGGCTCCCGCTGGCCGCCCTGCTGGCGGTCCTCGGTTCTGGCTCGGCTGCGCCCAGCGGCGCCTGAACGTGCACGTAGTGCAAACATGGACGCATGACCTAAGACGCATGACCTAATACGCACCAAGCCGCACCGAGACACACCAAGACGCACCAAGCTTCACCAAGCTTCACCAAGCTTCACCAAGATGCACGACAGCCCTAGCACGTGATGCTTCCTTACGCTTGGGCATGCTTGGTTCGCAGCCTTTCCCCCCCGTCCGAGGTATGATCTGCTGGTACCAAGCTCGGTGTCCGATGGAGTGCTTTAGAGCCCACCCATAACGCGCATCATGATCAGGATAGAAAACACGACGTTTGGCACCATACTCCGTGCACCTGGCATGTGCTTGTGCTGTGTTGGGTTGTGAAAGGCTAGAAGCTGAAAGCCGCTGCGGCTGTTGTCGCTGCTGTTGACTTGTGAGCTACAACTTGTCAGGGTTTGCTACGTTCTACTTGCCGCTGTGGCTGGCCATCGCATATTCCTTGTGGGTCCCTGCCCCATCCTAGCAGCTCCTAACAGTAGCAGTGTTTGTTGAGAGACGGCAACACAGTTGATTTTGCAATGGATCATTCACATTTACATTGTCTCACGCCGACGCGTTGCATCACGTTCTGTTGGTATTCCTTGGGTCCTTGAGGTTTATTGGTGTGTGTCCCAGCGACTCACGAAGCTGCTGGAGCAGGTGTCAGTAAGTGACCTGACGACAAAAATAGCCAGGCATCCGCCTTGAGGTTTTCCCCCCTGTTTCGTTAAGCATTGGGTCACACCACGCTTTCAGCGGTACCGAAATGCAGCCACCGGCGGACTGCCAAGGTAATGCGGATGACTACGAGGGAAATGCTTTTGACTATCAGAAGGCCCTGCGCATGGGGGGGCTGCTCGAACTCATGGGTCTTTTTTGGGTCTTTGCTAGTGTATGTGCTTCTACTTCAAGGTGCTATGCAGGGCCCATTCAGATATTCAGATCAACCTCTGCAAAATCACCTCCAGTTGATCCTTCCAAGTTTTCACCTGAGTTCAACTTGGGCTTAGAAGGCCTCGCGCAGCTGTAGCACAAAAAAGACAAATTCGATCGGCACTCCCGCTCTGGTGATGAGGACATCGATCGGCAGAGGAGATCTCTGCGATTGATGATTCTTGGCTTGCTGTCAAAATGAGTTTCTAGGCTTGTGTCAGAAGACGTGGGCTAATGCATCACACGGCGCGCATGTCTCAGGATGTACCTTCCTCTGATTTTGGTCTTCTGCTGGTCTCCGAGCTCTGTGCGACGATTGCTGGACATTTTGTTCCCGCGCATGGGCCGGTCCCTGCTGGACTATGTGTGCCCAAGAGTGCAGAAATAGCTTGTGAGCTTCAGATAAACTTTAGATCTTGCCTTTGTTAAGACCTTTGCCTGAGGTGCGTCTTTGCTGGCCCTCTGCAAGGCTTCCTGAATGCTTTAGTGCCTTGGCTGAAAACCATGCAGATTGTCTTTTCGGTGGAGTGAAGTGACGAACAAGAATCGGCACGACGAACTCGGCATCGTCATGGAAGGTGTACGGTGCGACGCCTGCTGTCAGGGATGCCATGACAGGCCGGCACTCAGCAGAGCTTCATGAAGCGTGGTGTGTAGGAACCCAGACATACGCGGAGGTTTGTGCCTGTGCAGGGTTTTTGGAACGGAATGTGCGCTGAAGAGTAGAATTTGCTGCCAAAGGATCTGAATTGCAGTGGAAAACCCAAAGCACAGCTTTTAAGGCTCCAGAGGGCCGCGCGTAAACAATCAAACAGAAACAGGATCCAAAATTCGCCGAGCAAAGGCCATGGAGGAATCCTGAATCAGCCTTTGGGCCTCTAGAGATATATCGAGGCAGCAGCACAGAAGCACAGAAGCACTGGGCCAACGAGAAGTGCCAACAACTTGTGAGAGATGCGGCATCAATAACATGATCTTTTGTTCTGACAAAAAGTGACATAAAGATCATAAAGTGCGGCGTGTCAGAGGCCGCTTGGACAACAGCGCTGCCAAGCTCAAAAGCATCAAGGACTGCCCCCCCTAGCGAGGGCCGCGAGGGCTGTCTTGGATGGGCGATGTCGTGGACTGCCTGAAGGCAAAGCTGCGATCGCTTCGGCCTGGAAGACGGCGTGACTTCCGACACTTCTCCGAGGCACGTGCGGCCGACGTCCCCCTCGATTTTGTTGCCAGAAATTGTCATGTTGCGCCGCATTGCCTTGCCTTGACTTGGAGGCCCCAGGCGAGAGCTCGCCTGGAGAGCCCGTGCCGACGCAGCTGCTCAGAGAGAAGACTCCAAGCGCCATAAAGACCGTGTAGCAGCAACTACAAGAGGGATAGGCATCAAAAAACATTAATTCGGGATGAAAAAACACGTAAATAAGAATCAAAAAGAAGTAAAGAAAGATCAACAATACTTGCAGTAGTTTAGGAAGGAAGGAAGGAAGGAAGGAAGGGAAGGAGAAAAAAAGGCAAGGAAGGAAGCGAGAGCAAGGCCGCCCCCCCTCTCTTGGGCAAGCTTGCTTCAAAGCATACGAGTCTTTTTCAAACCAGCTCCTCCCCCAATCTCCCAGCTGCTTTTTAAACCCCTCCGCTTTTTGGAGTCGTGCAAGCTTGCTTCAGCATACGAGTCTTTTTGAAACGTGCTGGGTTTTTTGAATCGCTCAGGTTTGTTTTCAAGCTGCAAGCTTGCCATCGTGCGAGCATTGTGTTTGCAAATCGTGAGCGTTCTGTGTTTGCAAAGGGGCCTGCGGGAGGTTGCGTAGCTTGGTTTTGCGTGTGAGCCTCTCCCACGCCCTCAAACCCCCCACGCCCCCACCCACTCCTCCCTAATGATTTTTGATCCTTGTAGCAATTTCTTCTTGATCCCTGTGGCGTATTTTTTTTGATCCGTGTTTGATTTTCTTGATCCGTCACCCCTACAAGAGTGAAGCAACAAGCACGAGAGCAGCAGAATACCATTTACTCAAAGCCGGTTCCGACAGCCCCCAGTCAAGCCCCCAGTCAAGCCCAGGTTTGGACGCCCGCACGATGCAGTCAGCTTGGAGGATATCACTGTGAAGCCCATGGAGCTGGAGAAGGCCACATCTGACATCGCAGCTACACACGCAATCGCCGGTACCGCCAAAAAATCCCATTTCAAACTCCGGTTTCATGAGCTCTGTCCGGCTCGGCTCTTCTCTTAAACTCGGCTCAAATCACACTTCCAGCGCTGGACTTGTTTCATGTTCGTCCTGGGACTGACGAAGTCAGGAAAACTCCTCTGAGTCAGAAAGTGCCAGAAAGTCGAGAGTCAGGAATCTGAGTCGGAAGATCGCCACAGCCAATTTCAAAAAACACAAAGATAGATAGAGTCAGAAGACGTGAAGACAGAGTCAGAAAGCATGAAGCCAACCTGCGAAAGCACACCTGAAACGTCTTTGGGGTTTAGGCCTTTCAAGGTTTGAGCTTTTGGGGCTCAATTATTCATCTATGTATATATATATATATACACATATAAGTAAATAAATATAAATAAATAAATATAAATCAGTAAATATAAATAAATAAATAAATATAAATATATAAATATAGAGTCCGGGGGACTGTGGGAGTGCACTTTTTTGTGTTTTTTTGTTTCATGAGGTTTGCCATGTTACACAACTCATTAATATAAATAAAACGCCCAACCCTAATAAATTCTATAAGTCTACTTATCAAGTAGTGAATGTATAGAACCTAATAGACTGAGATTACCATGATTCCAAATCTTGCTATTAGTTGGTGAATATAGATTCCAAGTCTTGCTTATTGGGGGTGAATGCGTTATGAGGGTGGCTATTATGATTTCAAGTCTTGTATATCGGGAAGGTGAATATAGATATCAAGTCTTGCTTATTGAGGGATGAGTGTAAGTTCCAAGTCTTGTTTATCAGGAAGTGAATGAGTTATTAGGGGAATAGTTACTTTTTATTAGTCTTGCTGATTGGTATGGGGTGAATGCAGCTCTTCAGTATTGCTTTTTCGAGGGGGGGTTGAATACGTGACTGGTGGACGAATACCTGGGTTGCATCAATATGGCTTTTGTGATTCAAAGACTTCACAAAGAAACACGTTGCATCGGAACACCGTGTTTTGTTCACAAAAAAACAGACTTTTAAAACAGAGTTCTAACCTGCAACTCTATAAAACAACGGTTTATCTGAGATGCATATACAAGCTATGGGAATGACCAATGAATGATTCCTGTAACTCAAAAAGCATGTAAACTTACGAAGGTCGGCAAAAATACATGTAGGTGAATCTATGTCTATAGATGAAATGGCAATAAAACTCACAAACACCATGCCTATAATAAAGAGTCAACGATATTATTTAACGCCACGAACAACACGAAACATCATTCTGGCAGCAATTTTACTGCATAGATTTCTCACAAAACCTCTAGCCAAAAAATGAAGCTGTAGAAGCTAGGCTAGAATGGACTGGACTTTTTTTATAACATATACATTTAACAAAGCAAGTACAAATTGTGCTTAAACTTTGAATTGATACTGAAGAATCATTTTGAAAGACTATTCCTATAGTAGACTTTTGCACAGCACTTTAGATGCGGCAAATAATCTAGAGAGCCCTCTACTGCACTATTAACAATTTCCTAATAACTTATAAATCAATCCATAGGACAAAGAGCCTTAAACTCAGATATTATATATATATATGTATATATAGTAATAATAATCATCATTTTTGTCGATGGGAATTTGTTATCCCATCTTATCATACAAATTTATATATCTTGAATGATGAGTTTAAAAATGCTTAAAGCAAAGTACTAGAAAATCCAACAAATAACACGCTTGGAACTCTTACAGAAGCTCCTCTTAGTAAAGGGAACAAGATAAATTACAAGATATTTACGTATGGGCAAACTCTGCTAGACTTGACATACAATGCAAATTACCTCAAAAAATGGGCAAGTATAGAAGATCTATATTAGAAGAAACAGCTAGAACAATAGCTAGCTTAGAAGTCATATTATTAAACCAACCCTGCATGAAGGAAAGCAAATATCAAGCCATAACGGTAGGCACCCTATGATACAAAGATTTTTCAATAAAGTCGCTTTGATTTTTATACATAGTGATTGTGGGTTTTTCATAGCGCAGATTTTTATCACACCTGTCTCACTGAAACACACTAGTCAGCAAAAGCTTTCGCAAAATATGAGCACCGTGTGGTCTTGCTTGTGGGGGGGGGGGGGCGGGGAAATCCATCATCGGTAGGTTGTCCCAGTAGCTGTCCTTCATTTTTCCGGAAGCGGCGCGCGTGAGGTATTCTACTGGAGACTTCGGGAAGCCCCGCGCTGGAGAATCGAAAAACCAAAAAAACAAAACAACAAAAAAAAATCAAAAATCCAGGACTCCTGTAGATTGGGCCCTGGATGGAAGAGTCCAGAAAACTTGTAAAAACTCAGAAAACTAGAAAAAAGGCAAAAAAACACGAAAAAACCAAAAAAAAAAAAAAAAACAATTTTCCAGGACTCTTGCAGATTGGGCCCTGGATGGAGAGTCCCTGGAAATTGATTTTTTTGGTGTTTTCGAGTTTTTTCGAGTGTTTGCATTTTTTCTAGTTTTCCTCGAAAAAACCAAAAAAACCAAAAAACCAAAAAAACCAAAAAAACCAAAAAAACCAAAAAAACTAAAAAAAACCAATTTTCCAGGACTCCTGCAAATTGGGCCCTGGATGGAAGAGTCCCTGGAAATTGTTTTTTTTGTTTTTTTTTGTTTTTTTGTTTTTTTTTTTTGTTTTTTTTTGGTTTTTTGGGTTTTTTTCGAGTTTTTGCATTCTTTTCTAGTTTTCCGAGTTTTTGTAAAGTTTTTCTAGTTTTCTGCGTTTTTTCGTATGAAAAGCATGTATCGTGTAAGGAAAAATAGCCAAAAAGCGCACTCCCACGGTCCCCCGTTTTGTAAATATATAAATATATAAATATATAAATATATAAATATATAAATATATAAATATATAAATATAGAAATATAGAAATATATAAATATATAAATATATAAATATATAAAAATATAAATATATAAATATATAAAAATATAAATATAAATAAATAAATAAATAAATAAATAAATAAATAAATATATACATATATATATATTTATGTGTGTGTGTGGGGTGGGGGAGGGGTTTGGGCTAGGGTAGCAATCCGAAACGGAGACGCGGATAGGAAACCCCGGAACAACTTGCAGCCCTTCCGCTATCCTCAACAAGCCAAGTTCTTTTGTGTTCGCCATGTTCCTGAGTTTCGTCCATTTATTTTCTGACTCAGCTGGTTTGTTATTTGACTCGGTGGGCTTGTTTTCTGACTCGGCTGGTTCTGGGATCTGAGACTGTCTTCCTTGTTTTCTGACCTCGCCCCACGCTGCCTTCGGCGCGATTTCCCGACTCGCATTGCGCTCGGGTGCCTAGCCTGGACATGTTGCTCGTACCATCTGTGCAGTGCGCAGTCAAAGTGTTGCAACATGTTCCACCGAAAAGGAGACGCTGCCAATCTGTTTGTGCAAGGGTTGGGACCTCCGAAGCACAGAACAAGAAGAGCAACACGAGAACTGAGCTCAGGCGCAAGTAACCTACAAAAAGACCGATGCGGCGGTGACACAAAGAAAGACATGGCACATTGCTCAGTAGCATGGACGAGATTGCACGTGAGTTGATGCCAGGCCATGGAGCCTCCAGCACCGGCTGGTTGAGCAGCGCTGAGCTTTGTGTACATATTTTAAGCAGCCATGTCTTTGAATGACGCCTATTGAAAAACACAACCTAGCTTTCGTATTGGTGCCAGAAGAGCTTTTGTTCTTCGGAGTGTCGTGGCGGCCTTTTGAGAGTCCATGCAGCTTGCAAACGCGAGAAAGCATGAACAGTCTCACCTGCAACGAGTTCTCAGTTGGGGTAACCAGCCTGACGACCAAGAGACAAGGATCTGCAGACATGCTTGCTGTGGGGTTCTTAACGTGCCATGAGCCGTGGGCAGTCATGAGATGTAGTTCTTCTGTCGCCCAGGAACAATGGAAAGGTTGGACCCATTGACCGCTTCGTGCGTGAGCTCTCCCGTTCTCCAAACACTGCACGTTGAAGGCAGCAGCAGCTTGGCTTTGGGTTCGAGTACCTTCAAACGCGAGCTGCTAATTTGTGAGGAACCGTTCGACAGGAATCCCTACGAATCTCTTGCGAAGCGCTGGCAAACCAATTCTTAATCCCTTGCAATCCCTTCATGGATCCATTTAAGCCATGTCTTAATCCCATCTGAGAAGGACCAACATCTCGCTCTTTTCCAACCAAGTTCACAAGAGCGCGTTTGGTCCCCAGACCCCACAGGCCCCGGAGGCTCCCCCCAGAAACCAGGCTTGCTGCTCCCAGCCCTTCCGCAGCCCAATCAGTTTTGGGACACACAGAGCACAAGCCTGGAACGTGATGAGCTTTGCTGAGCCTTGGCAGGTAGAATGCCTTCGCATTCCCGGCTTTGTGCTCTCGTGGAACACTCAGAGACCCACAGAGAGTCGCCCAGAGGTCTTGGGTGCCTAGATACGCGTTCGCTCGTTCTATCGTACACCCGCCAGTTTGGGCTTCTCGGAGTGTACACTGCAGCCAGCTGATGTGGATCACGCACGGTGGGTAAGCATGAGATTCTGCATAATTGACCTGAGCAGACGAATCACCATCAACATTCAGAACCCCAAAAACCCTAGAGCCTATAGTCATGTCGGCAGCACTGGCATTTTCTGGGCCGTCGCTTTGTCACCGACAAGTAGGACCGTGCCCGTCGAGAGGACATCCTCCTCGATCCTCTTCATTCCCAGCATTGGGCGGCACATCCGCCGTCCTCGCGTTCCTGGCTGGCTCTGTGGCATCCACGAGGTCTGTCCACAGTGCGCGACATGCGAAGTCAAGGGGAAGAGAACCATTTAGCAACAAAGTTCGTACGGTCTTCGGCCAGCTCTACGCACTCCTCTCGCTGCCCCTTGGGGGGTTTGGCAACTTCGTGCGAGTGGACCAAGGCTCCGTGGGTGTGGTTCTGCGATTCGGGAAGTTCGACCGGATGCTGGATCCAGGGAGACACCAGTTCAACGTTTTCGTGGAACGCGTCATCGTGGTGCCCCTAAAGATCGCCTGCATCGACGTGAAGCCGCAGATGGTCATGACCAAGGACAACCTCACCGTCACCATTGATGCCGTGTGCTTCTACCGAGTCCTGGATGCAACGAAAGTTCTATTTGAGGTGCAGAACTACAGACAGGCACTGTCCAACTTGGTGCAAGTTACGATGCGGACGGTGGTGGGGGAGAACGAGCTCAGTGAGATCTTTGCTCAGCGGCCCCGGCTGAATGCCCGCATCACCGAGCTGATTGAGGCCACCACAGGGCCATGGGGCATCGAAGTGAGCCAGGCTCGACTTAAGCACCTTAAACAAAAAGAAGACCGCTGGCAGCCAGTTTGGTTGGTAGGTGTTCAGCTTTCAGTGAGGTGGTCTCCTGTGGCGAGTCTCCCCAGAAATGAGGTGGAGCTGAAGGAGGTGCAGATCCAGCAGTCCATGCAGCGTGCTTTGGCGGCCGTCGCCGAGGCGGAAGGGAAAGCAGTGGCACCCTTTCAGCCGTGTGTTTGGGAGGGCTTAGGATTTAGGGTGAAGGGCCTGGTGGAGTTTAGGATTTAGGGTTTTGGGATCCTTGGCTGCATAACACTTCTGAACTCATTTCATCTGCATAGCCTTCATGTTCGCCGCAAGTATGCAGGTGTAAGCCCTCGTAGAACCCTTGTGCGAGAGGTCAGGGTCTCCAACTACACCAACATTTGACATGTAGTCAAACACAACTGTAAGAAGCCCGTTGGTGAGAGACTTGAAGCGTGATAACAGTGATAACATCATCAATTCCAGGGCCTGAAAGCCTCGAAGCCCTTGAAACCTTCTAGCGATCTTGAAGAGACCCTGAAAAGCACTTTTTTCTCTCCTCCTCCCCCTTTTGTTTTTTCTCTCAGGCGCAGCAGGAGGCCGAGGCCAAGCTGATCCAGGCGCGCGCGCAGCGCGAGTCCGCGAGCATCCTGGCGGAGGCCTCCCAGGCGATGGGCGCCTTGGGCCTCCCATTGGCTAAGAGTTTGTAGGGGCGTGTTGGACCAGGGTTTTAGGGTTTTAGGCTGTTAGAAGGCTTAGGGGCTGTTTCAGGCTAAGACGGCCTTAGGGTTTCAGGATGCGTTCAGGTTTTTAGGTCTTGTGGGGTCGAGTGAATAGAGGGTTGGGCAGCGGTGGGTTTTTGTTTGTTTGTTCTTTACTGGTGGTGGCGGCTCTGAGAACTTCCGAGATCTTCCGAGACCTCTCAGTTTTCAGGTTGCTTGGAACGATTGCATGCCAGGCAGTTTGTTGCTTTGGGGTTTTCCAGAGATGAAAACAGCCCGCGGAAGATGCGGAGTGGGTAAGGGGAAGTGCGCTTGATGATATCAAAACCTCCGAGCTTGGAACCTGATCCTGCCAAGAAGCTTGACATTCGCTGACAAGCATGGTGCTATTCAAATCTACAACAAGCTACGCGTGGCTCCATGTCCAAGGTGGCAAAACTGGGGGGAGTGATCCATACCTTTCGTAGCTTCACACCTGAACGTCTGCCGAGGACAAGATGCGGCCGCCCTTCAGCTGCAATGGTTCGAGACGCTTCGGATCATCGCCACGCAAGGGAAGAACGCCACCATCATCTTGCCCGACCGCATCGATCCCGAGACCGCTCTCAGGGTCAGTGGCTCCACCACGTGACGGCCCATTTGAGGGCCCATTCTGAGGCGAGGGCCCATTTGAGGGCCCCTCTCTGAGGGCACCAGGTTCAAAGGATCAAAGCAGAATCCGACTGCAAATGTGGAAGCGAGAAGATGATCTGTGCTTGCATCTCCTCTAGACGGCATTGCTTGGCAATTGCTTGGCAATGAAGACCCAGCCCTCCGGCCCGGCCGTGAGCAGACCCCTGCGCGAAGGCACAAAGGAAAGGCACGAGAAAGTCACCTGCAAAGTTCTGAACGGTTCGGTGCCCAATAGGAAAGTCCCTCCAGCTCCTCGATATTCGTTTTTTTTTGTGTTGGCACATGCCCACACTGAGCCTGAGACTTGGGGGTGGAACCAACATCTTGCGGAAGCGAGCGTCTGTGGGAACAGCGATGTGAGGAGGGTTTCTGTGCCGGTCTCCATGCCTAGCCGTTTTGTGTGCAGATGAGGCCTTTAGCAAGCCCCAAGAGCTGCTCTCGCCCCGCGCTCAGATGCAGAGTTCGTGATCCGGAGAACATGCAGCGCCTGACGTGTAAGGACTTTTTGATGCCGCGGTCATTTGTAACCCCTCAGCAACTCTTGAGCACACGCTTCAGGCCAGCATCGTGCCGACAAAGGACCTCAGTTGTTTCGAGCATGATGTAATTCGGGCTGTGAGCCATACTACTTGTGTTCTGCTTCGTGCAGCATTGCGCGCAAGCACAGGCCATTCTACTAACTAGAAGCCTAACAGCGTGTATCTCCGCGGCTCACAAGCCATTAGACCCCTTTTAGCCTCTGCCGGACAGAGCTTCGGCTTGAGTGAGTTCCAGCCACAGAGCGAGGTTGCTATTGATTCAGCTGACAGAGACTCACGGGACAAGATCGCGCGCAAACAGACTTCTCGGCGATTTTTCCTTCCAGACACGTCAAGCAAGACGGGGTGGGAGCCACAGCAACCGAGCTTCGATGATCAAGACCCAATTCAGTGTCTCTGTGTGTGTGTGTGTGTTTTTCAGTCGCGAGCAGATGTTGCTTGAAAGAGGCAGGTGCTTTCGGATTTTCAGGGGCGGAGGTTCAAGGCGCATGAGCAACGGTGTCTGCAGACGAGTACGATTCGCCTACCTACACCCCACTGTACCGATGCTACAGATCTCCTCTCCTTGTGCATTCAGACTCGCATTCAAGCTCCATTGGCATGGCTCTCGGCTTTGGGCTTAGAGTGTTCGGACCTTCATTCGCCACTGCGAAGACCAGCAATCTGGGCTTGGGCGATAGGGTTAGAGGTGAGTTTGATTTCAAGTGGCGGAAGACGCTTGAAGTCTTTCAAGGCTTCAAGCTCTTTCTGTTCTCTCTTGAGACTGTTTTGAATGGCTTGAAGCTGGCAGCTGGAAGCCTTGAAGCAGCTTGAAACCCTTTATGCAGTTTCCATTCAAGCCCTTCCAGGCCCTTCTAAGGCTTCGAAGCCCAAGCCTTTCAAGCTCTGCAAGAACAAGTTTTCAGAGGGAGGAGGGTGGAGGTTGGGGAGTCGAAGAGTGGAAGCTCTTGAAGTCCTTGAATGCACCCCTTGAAGCCCACGCGAGTGGGGGCATTCCTTTCTTTAGCCTCACGCAGTACAGAGGAGTCTCCTTCAAATGGAAGGGGGTTGGGAGCGCGGGAAACCAAAGCCTTCACTGGCGCCAACGGCAGGGGTAGATAGTACAACGAACTCTGTCATGTGGCTCTATGGCTTTGATTGGCAATTTTTTTCTGACCGTGAAGCAGTCCGTCAACGATTGGTGAGCACGCAGTAGCAAGGGACCTCCAAGATGTTGAGCAGCGTGCCTTGCCGCAATTCCTACATTCGGGACGCAAACACGGGCTGGAGATATGCACCAACGTAAACGCACACGAACCACACCCACCACGCCTTGAAAGCCTTGCGTGGTTCCGGCACACCCCGGCCCACCACCAAGTCCAGCTGCCTGAAGGCAAGCTGCGTGCTTGGACCCCTGAGTAGTTTGCTGCAACAGGATTACAGGAATCCAGCAGAATCCCTTCAACGCTGTTTGCGAAATCCACTGATGGTTGGAGCGGCCACATGCAGCCACGCATGCTGGTGTTTCTGGTATAGCGCAGCACAAGTACAGTACAGTATTGTAGAGCAACGAGAACCGACACCCAGCTCCAAGTGAACACATTCCAAGTTTGACCCTGCCAACACCAACATCTCCCACAGTAGTAGGGCCATAATACGATCTATCGTAATTTATGTACATTGAACATTGAACTCATCAGCAATACTTGCGATCACTTCCAGCGTCCCGGCATACAGATGGATCCTGTCATCCTACACCTGAAGCCTGCGTGCAAACAGTGCAGGGCATGCACTCGACCGAAACCGGCAAGCGTGACGCTTGGGGTGCAGCAACCGACTGCGAGTCCGACGGACCTACTCAACAAACCCTCGCTGATGCTCCTGGACCTTGTGCCCCAACTCCGCTTAAAGCGCCGGAGGAAGGTTGCTTCAGTTGGCTGGTTGCAAGGTCACCCGATGCTCCAAGAGTACGGTCCGAAGGTTCCGGTTTTTCATTTCTCGCGGTTCCGTGTGGTTGGTCCTGGTCGGCTCAGTTCTGGGTTCAACTCAGTCACTGCGTTGTTTTAGACTGCTTAGGGTTTTCAGGGTACAGGACCAGAATGATACAAGATGCCTGCACGCGGCTTTCATGAGCGATGTTTCTCAACGAGGCATCTGCGGCGTTTTGGTTCAGCTCGCTTGAGGAGCCAAAGAAGAGCACCATAAACAAAAGAGCGACCAAAGTCTCGAAGGAAGATTTCCTCCAAGCAACTCGTCAGCTTGCGCGCCCAAGACGGCCGCTGTTTTTGCAGCTTTGGCCACAAAAGTCTGGCATTTTAACGCAAAAAGGAGAGGCAAAAGGTAGGATCAGGGTAGGATCAGGGACGCTGAGAATGGTCATGGCGCCCCTCCAGGAACGGCAGCCGGAGGAGCTCGAGGCACGACGAGTGCCAAAGCTAGAGTCCACATCCGGGAAGCGCGTTGAGCCGAGGAAGACTTAGATCGCTCGCCGAAGAACCTGTCACCCTGGCAGTGCGCCTTGGTGGGCAACTTGTGTGGGCCACTGTCGCGTGCAGTGTCCGCCTCGATTCGCCTTGGCTGGTGTCGGGTTTTGTGCGCAAATAATGTCATATTGTCAGCTTACAGGCTTAAAGATGTTGTTGGATGTTGTGGATAACATGTCCACAGGTGAGGAGTCCACGACCTCGCCCGAGGAGGCGCTGCCGAAGTACTCACGAGGCTTGACAAAGGCTCTCTTCGGATTCGGATGAGCTGCACATCAGTTTCTTTGAATGTCTCGGAGGGCCTCCCTCTGACGAGGACGGGAGCTGCTTTCAGGTCTTGCAAACACTCCTGCCGCTCGAAGAATGATTTGTCTTGTGCTTCACCCACATGCAGGGTGCGCGCGATGCTGCTGCCCTGCGTCAGCGGCTGCTGGAGGCAAATGACCCTCGGAAACCCGCAGCTGCCGCAGCTGCCGCAGCCCCTTGATTTTTTGCTGTGGGGATTGAGCTGCAGGCCCAGGGTGAAATTGCTGGGCTTCGCCTGGCACTAGCTGCCAAGGACTTCGCCCCTGAAACATGCAGCATCGGGCAGTCTCGTTTGGCCTACAGATGTGCCTATGCGCTTGATTCACAAAATGGCACCAGGAGCGCTTACGCAACCGTGGTGGCTCAGCAGAGGAGATGGCCAAGTGATGGAGCTTGCAAGTTCCTCCTTTGCTGTACTTTCGGGAGCAAAAGGTTTATTCAGATTGCTGGCGCAATTGCTCAGGTGATAAACTAGTCGTAGGCCATCCTGCTTTGCACCCTACTATGCTCGTGGCCAGATAGCTGAGCTTACCCAGTGCCTCCGCTTCTCTTTTACGCGCGAAAGCACCCTATGACTCAGTGCCTTTCAAGGGCACGCCGTGCTTCTATCTTACACCTGCTTGAGCAGACTGCAGGAGGGTCTGCTTACTGAGCTGCGTGAGCTTACTGTCGAACTTCGTTCGACGATAGCATCTTCGAGGCATGTCAGCGTGCGTAAACTGCCTGAGATTGAGTTCATATGCAGCATTGTGAAGCCCTGATGTTTCTGAGCACAGGACGCCCAATGCGCCCAAGATGGACGCCCGCAAGGAGACAGGGACGTGGCGACAAGATCAGATAAGGATAGGGACGAGGCAGCTGCGACTCCAGGTGATCTCCAGGTGATAGATCGTGTCAATCCGAGTTTCAATTTCCTTTCACAGAAGTCTTTTGAAGGAGCACCGGACATGCCTCAACAGGACATCAGGCTCGCAGTCGCCTCGGATTCTGATGTCATCGGTTAAGCATGGCCCGCCGATACAACCTAGTTACAGTTTCCCAGGTCACCGGGCCGTGCCAGCCCACAGAAGGCACCGGGAGTGACTGCAGCACCTTTTGACGTGTGCAGAATTAACCGCAAGCCTGCAGGGGGCGAAGGTTGTCGAAAGACAAAGGCTTCTGGCAGAAGTGGTGCCGAGACTGCAAACTGGCAAACGTCGCTCGGACAATGTGCAGCGCACTGTTCGGCTGTGCCTTCGGAGGAAAGGAAGATCCACGATCTGCGTGGCCATCTCGGGCCAGGCGACGGGCTGGGGAAAGCTGCAGTGCTTGAAGACTAGCCGTGACTAGCCACGAGTGCAGGCCACCGTGGGGGAGCCTTGACTCCACAGCCCCCTCCGAGACAACGCGAAGTGTCACGTGAAGTGTCACATGATCTGAAGACACCATCCTGCAAAGCCTGGAGGCACAGGGGTGGTCTGAATGAATCAGGTAGATTGTAAAGAACACTTCCGAATTTCATGGTGCTGATTTGCCATGCCTAGGTGCGCGCACGCACACGCAAACCCGCACAGACGCACACGCGCACGCACACACGCACGCACACACGCACGCACGCACGCACGCACGCACGCACAGAGACAGAGAGACAGAGAGACAGAGAGACAGAGAGA